TTCAGTTTACTCAACAGCCACTTGTATTACCTTGAGGCTGGATGAAACACAGATAATCATCTAGTCCACTTGCTAGGATAAGAGATAAGGAAAAACCAAGGTACCGAGGGGTAAAGGCATTTCTCCAGAGTTCATGCAGTATATTATTTCCCAGTACCCACGGATACAAATGACTGCTGCCCTGAGGGGCATCTAAGGGCCATTCCTGAGCACAGAGGGTCTGGCTGAGATGAAGTCAACTAGTGATTCTAATTGGTATTTGATAATACCCCTTCTCTGGCACACCGGTGCTTCTCTCTGGCTACAGCATTTGTCTAAAGGACTGCATCAGACACCATGCTGGCTGGGTGAATCAGAAACCAGAAGTTCCCAGGAAGTTCTCTTTTCTTTTATAAATAACTTTGGCCTGACTTTGCCATTTTAATTCTTTTTTTTTTTTTTTTTTTGAGACAGAGTTTCGCTTTTGTTACCCAGGCTGGAGTGCAATGGCATCTCGGCTCACCGCAACCTCCGCCTCCTGGGTTCAGGCAATTCTCCTGCCTCAGGCCATTTTAATTCTTCAAAGTCACAGAATAAAAAGTTAACTAGAAATGATTTAGAAATAAAACCCCTGTAGATATAATAACCGGTGGTTTTATATTTATCTGAGAATCAAACTTCTTAAAACAAGCCAAACTACTTGAAGCTGGATTCTGGTGCCTTAAACACCATGACCTTTGGTGATCCAGCATAGTGAAATGAATGATGCTAGCATTGTCCTCTTTTAATAGACAAATGTAACTGAATATTCACTAATGTGGCAAAGTTCAGAATAAGCTAAGTGTACTGATCGGAAAGCCTCAATTACAGAATATCTTCAAAAAACAGAGTTGGTGCTTCTTTCAAGTTTAAATTAAAAAATAAATTTAAAAAAATAGAGATAAAAAAATAAAAAATAAAGAAAAAAGTTTAAATAAAATATTTACTGTGAACTTCAACATTATGAGTATTATATGCATATCAAGATAACTGGCAGCAACAAATATTCTTTCATTAAATGTGCATAAAATGATTTAAAATTACTACATCAACTGTTTCCTGAGAAATGGGCACTTCTGAAATGAATAAGGACATCTAAGAACAGTTTTATGTAGCAATATTTGTATAGCATATGACAATTTTAAAAGCATATTTCTATATCATAATATCTTTCATTCTCACAACCGAACTGCTTATCCAGGGTTATATTGGGATAATGAAACTGAGAACAACTGGAGAACAGCAGACGCAGGACTAAAAACCAGGTTTTCTGCGTCAAGATTCGTATCTCACACTGACCCGAGAATCTCTCTGTAATATCAATTCCCTTCTTTAATCCTCTCTTCCCAATCACCAAAGGAGAGGTTCTGTACCAGCTCTAACAGTTTACAAATTCTAAAATAAAAAGAGTTCAAATTAATGGAGTTCTCTTAGAAACAGAAAACAGGCTCAACATTTTAAAAGGTCCCTCTCAAGGCATAGCCCTCTAAAGTATTTGCTAAATGCTAACACGACTACAAACCACAGAAACTTCATTAATGAGGCACTGAATTTGTTTACTAAAAAGATAAAAAAGAAGTCAGATAATGAAAGAGACTTATTCAAATAAGGACTATGAAAACATTATATCTAAGCTCAGAAACATCAACTTTTAAAATAAAAATTCTAAATTGGTGTCCAAATCCTCCATCCATCTTGCCTACTACAGAACATGTATATTAGCTTTGGATGAATGGAGTCAGACAAATTTGGCACTTGGTACATTTTCAGGGTGTAAGAAACACATTCTAAACATATAGCTCCTTTTAAAAGAAAGTGAGAAGGCAGACACTTGCTTATATGATGAGAAAACGAGCCATCAGCCCTACCTCATCCAGCTTCCCTAATAGCTTTTGTGACAAATTTCAATTTACAGAAATTGTATTTTGAGAAGCTGTCCTTCCTCGCTGCAGTCACATAGTCAGAGTCATAGTGCACATGCTGGTGTGGGAACATCACGCTGGCAGAGGGAGACCAGCTGGTGCCAATGTCTCTAAAAGCTGCCCCATGTTAACCTGCCAGGTCTCATGTTCTTCATCTCCTGCGGAAGTCCAGGTTTTGTCTGGAATAGAAAACCAACTAGCTTCTTATTGAGAAGGAAGTTCCAAGAAAGCTCACTCTGGGATGAACATACTTTGGAAGTATTAATGAGAAAGGAAAATAGATTATGTCTTTGTATGAGTAAAAAGTAAGTCTAGATATGTTTCAGATCCTTTTCAGTAAATGTTTGGAGTCATAAGAACTGAATGAAATGATGAGAAAACGGAGGGACTAGAGAACTATTATGTGCGATATTAATATGCCAACAAGATGCCTACAACACAAACTTTATATGCATCTAAGCCTTCTGTTCTAAAAAATAGCAAGAAGGAATGGAAAAAGATTGGTTAAAATAAGAGGAAGGTAAGAAGAACCTCAAGGAAAAAGGAAAAAAAAAAAAGGAAGGAAAAAGGAAAAACCCAACCCCAAACCTAAACACGCAGGTGCCTGAGTTATTATCATAGCTCCTGGCAAAGTGACAGAGTGAAGTTTTCTAAGGAAACTCCAAGGGCAGTGAGTCAAGGTGAGTCAAAGTATGCAAAGCAGGAAGGCCTGCCAATGCAGGCACTGTTCCCAAACACGTCCCCTCCTCCAGCTCGACCACGAGTCAGCAACAGCAGCATGGGGACCCTTGGACCTGAGCACTGCTAAGTTTATTTTAAGCAGGATATATTTTCTGCTCTTTTCCCTTGGGCAATTTAAAGGGCCTCATACCTGAGAATTTTCTCTTCTAAATTTCCAATTTTGGAGAAAAAAAAAGATCTTCCAAGAAAACAGTAAATAGCAAATCAATTACTTAATTTTGTTCACTTATACTTTTTAGGACTCACTTTAAAGACAGGTATTTTCCAACTGCAAAGTCAGTAAGTGCACACCAAGACACCATGGACAGCTTGGCATTTCATTTAAATGCCAAGTCCAAATATGTACTGCCTCATGAAAACAACTGATAACATCTCTATGTAAAACAACATCAGGCCAGGTGCGGTGGCTCATGCCTGTAGTCCCAGCTACTCAGGAGGACTGCTTGAGCCTGGGAGGTAGAGGTTACAGTGAGCACACATTGTGTCACTGCACTCCAGCCTGGGTGACAGAACAAGATCCTGTCTCAAAAACAAAGCAAAATGAAACAAAATAAAAAGAACATCATTTTAATTTCACTTTTTGATCATGTATTCTCATTAAGGAGAAGCAATTATGGTTTAAAAAAGTTAGCACAAGCCAGTGGCCCCTTAAAGGAGACAGAAAACGTAGCCAGTATCTCAGTCTGCCATTAGTAACTGCTGTGCATACAGTTCCTCCAGGACAAGCTTGTCCAACCTGTGGCCCAGGATGGTTTTGAATGAAGCCCAACACAAATTCATAAACTTTCTTAAAACATTATGAAAATTTTTTGTAATTTTTTAAGGCTTATCAGCTATCATTAATGCGTTTAATGTGTGGCCTAAGACAATTCTTCCAGTATGGCCCAGGGAAGCCAAAAGATTGGACTCCCCTGCTCCAGGACCTTCCTTCCCCACCTGGGAATCACTATGATGATCATATTAGCTCAGCTGGTCTTCACGTTTTTTAAATGAGTTATTATAAATAAAAAGTGCTCTGTTCAAATATGAGTGATTATCACCATCATGCAACCAAGCTAGGTTTCGGAAACCCAGTTATTATAGTCTGAAAACACATCCGTCCCCTGTGTACTGTGCACTCTTTTCTTGGACTAGCAGGTGGAGAGGCCCAGTCTGAGGACAAGACCCTGGCTCTTGCTGAGCTACAACTGTGGTGGAGATTTGAAGAAGTCAAATCAGTCCCTGCTCAAGCAGCCACACAAATGCCAAATAGAACTATGATCTAGGTCTACTGCATTAATCATAACTCCCTTAATCCATGAGCCAAGAGATCAAACTGAGCAAGTAGTTGTGTCTCACTGGGGTCAAACCCATTACCTGGCAAGCTAAGTTTTCTGAAGTTCTAATACATGATTTTGTTTCCCAGAGTTCCTTTTACTGAAGGATGTCACTGAAATCATTTGTATCAGGACAGCTCCAGTCACCTCCCCACTCTCTGCAGGCTTCTAGCTACTTGAAAGCCTGGAGAGGCACAGGGGCTGGACAATCCAACAAGTAACAGGCTGAGCTTTTGCTGAGTGTGCACCCTCTGTGGCATGTCTGCAGGACACAGACATGTCCTGCTGCTCTCCACCAGGCAGCTGAGTTGCCAATGCCAGGAACTGCAGGGATGGCCTGCTAGCACTTTAAATATCCAAAAGTGAGGGGGAAAGGCATGGCAGGGCTGCCTGTACTCAGTCTTATCTTGCAGAGAGAAGCACACTGAAAAGCTGGGAGGGGGGAAGATCAGTATGGCAGTGTGTTACCCACTGTTGGCAGGTGTGGGGCTGAAACCATCCCTGGCCATCTCATTTAATTCTCATGAGAAACTTTGAGGAAACATTCATTCCTATTTTACAGACAAGGAAATGGGAGGCTCAGAAGGTGAAATGCCTGGGCCACAGATCTGGAGCAAGGAGGCGCTGGTTCTGGGACTTGCATGTCAAAGCTGATCTCCATCTCCCACAGCAGACTACCAGAGGCCAAATGCCAGAAAGAAGCAGCAGACCCTCCTCTTCCACAAAGGCAGCAGGAAGCCTGGACATGGAACACATCTCAGGGACAGGGCAAGCCTGTTGGACACAGTGAGGAGCTGGGAACGAACAAATGGCACTGGCCTGGGAAATGCACCACTGCTCAGCAAGGACAACAGCAATCGGGACTCCACTCTGTATTATGACATGGCCGAGTTCCAAGGAAGGGGCCCTTAAGCTGTGCACTTATTCTGACTCATCTATCTCCACATCCCAACTGCTCCCCACGACCCATCTGTTCAGCACCCTGGCCGCATGACTGACTCACCTCCTTATGGGAGTCTTTGTGGGCTTCCAGAGTCTTCATAATCGTCAGCTCAGCGTAGTTTTTAAATCTTGCTGGTTGATTTCTCAGAATTTCCCTCAAAACTCTCAACGCCAGTGCTCGAATTGAATGCTGGAGTACAAGGGGAAAGGAAGACATCACCAAACAACACACAGCACTTTCATACACAGCAGTCAACAGGGTCGGCAAGGCCAAGCACCCAGCTCTGGGTTCCCTGGAACCCTGCAGAACCCTCTACACAGATCACACAGTGATCAGCTCCATGAAGGCAGACACTGTGCCTTAGGGTGACATTCCCGGGATTTAGCACCTGACAGGCACTGAAAAAAGCTTGAACAAGCCATACACTCGAGATCAAATGAGGATGAGACACCTAAGTTCATTATCAGTTTTCTGGGGATTTCCAGATTTCCTGAGGCTTCAGCCTACAAATTATCCGTCTCTAAAATGTATGAAAGAATGTGTACAAAGCACTTGGATGTTTCATCAACACAGCCTGTAAGACTGTGAACTCCCTAAGGACAGTGGAAGGCCTGTCGTTATTCTGACCTTCCATGCGATGAGATCACTGGGTGTGTGTACCTGCCTTGAGTTGGTTAAGGCCAGAGTCACAGATCTGGAGGAAAGCCATTCCAAACAGACTCCTAATCTCAATAAAAAAGAATGGAGTTTATACCAGAGCCAGAAAGTACATCCTGATTCTTTGTCACTCATCTGTACAATTCACACACTAATACACCATTTACCTGTCCTCTATATGACATCACTTTATCTCCCAAGAGAGCCGACAAGGCATAACTGCTTTACAAGCCAATACTTTGTCTTTTTTTTTTTTTTTAAAAAAAAGTAAAACAGATTACTTATTAGCATTCTTCTATCTTTACTTATCCCTAAACCAAACCATTCATCCAAAGCATCAGAAAGTTATCTGAGTCACCACGGCATGGCATGCAGCAGCCTTCCTGTCACTCGGCTGCCACGCAAGTCCCCTCTAGTTAACCCTGGGCATGGCCTGTCACCTCCTGGCAATCCTCCCCATCTCCCTCTTCCAGCTCCTCACCACAGCACTCTCTTCTCATTTCTGCTGGCCTACACAAAGCTAATGTGGACAGATAAGGTTTTTCTTGTAGAGGTTTAATTCTGGCAATTCCCAGCATCTATTCCTATCTCCATGTAAGGCACCAGCTCCAAAGGTGAGAGAACACAGGACATTGACTAGATTACTCCCCCTTTTAAGAGTTCTCAATGTGCCGCATGCACATCACAGATCAGACCAGACATGTCATGAATACCTAGTTTGTCATATTCAAATGTCCCAGCATGATGAAGCTTTTTTATTTTAAAACTAATAATACAAAAGTCAGAATCATACTTCTGGAACCTGTCACTTGATTAAAATTATTGGAACTGCTATATGTAAGGGGGAACCAAGATGTAATTTCATGGAATGTAGCATTTAATTGGGTCTTTAAAAAAATGAAACTTTTTCTCAATTACACATGAAACAAAAATGAAACACAAAAAAAAGTGCATCCTAAAAGACCATATTCTATGCTAATGAAGTTTTAAGAAATTCTGTGTTACAGCAACTAGATGCAGGAATGAAGTTCCCTCAACTACCATAAACCCAGCTGCAGACTACGCACGTACGCCAAGAAGCAGCTTGTTGCTGATAAAAACACTACCTTACTAAACGTCCTCAGAAAATATGTGAAAAATGAACAAATACATGTTTTGATGTAAACAGTAAGCACAACCCGGAAAGTAAAGCTGGAGCCAACCCCAGTGAGAAAAGGACAGCGTGACCCCATTACATGGAAAGGGGCAAGCTAAGGCCAAACCAGCATCTCACGTCTTTGTCTCCAAGGGTCTCTAGCAGCAGGAGCAGAATGGTCTTGAAGTGCTCCTCCCAGACGCCAAGGCTGTCTTCCCGTGTGATTTTGAGCAGCTCCAGCAGGGCTCCTTTCCGTTCCTCCACCCGCTCGTTGTGGTTGGACAGCTCTTTCAGAAGGTCAGCCACCAGGTCAGAATGGTCGATGGGCACTGGTGAGACACACCAGACATACATTACCTCGTGAGGAAATACCTGGCACAGGGGCTCCCTCAGTGGTGCCCAGCGATTCTCTTCTTCCCGCCTCATCTCCCAGAAGTAACGCCTCCTTCACCGTTCCCCTCCCGCCCTCCACCCTGCTTCGCTGTCCGGCCTCAGCCTACACACCCTCTGCCAACCTTCTCACCAAGTTCACTGTGAAAGCAGAGGTGCGAGACCAGCTGTCCAGCACCAACAGTCAATGTCTTCACCCTTGCTTGCTATCTTTTTCCTTCTACTTCAGACAAGAGCAATGCTTGTATCTGCCAAAGGAGGGCCTCAACCCTCTTATTTTCCAAAACTCTCTCTCATTGCCGTGATCCTGAGTCAGCCCCACCACTGGACAGCCTCTTACCAGGGCCAAATCCACTCCCGTACACACATTCTCCTCAAGGCCTCCTCACCATCCCTTTCTCAAATGTCTACAGCTTAGGAACCAGCACGGTGAGCAAATGCCAATCAAGGTGTCTGGACTACTGGTGGACTATGTGGAGAGTAAAAACTGGCCCAAAATGACTCAACATAGTTACCTGTAGGGCTGTGAACACGGTTTCTATGGCAGAAAGGCACATCCTTTCTCCTCCATGTTCTTTTAAGAAACCTCAACTCTGAATATTCAACTTTAAATAGAGAGGATGGAAAAACAAACAAATCAGACAAGTTATTAGGAACTACTTAAATGTGTATTTGCATATTTCTTTAATTTCTAAGATTGGATAGCAAACACACAAGAAAGTCTGAAATGGTCAAGAACTCTGTCATTTCCTCCTGCCTTTTTCTTTAAGTCTTCAGCACACAGTTGGTGAATAACCAACACTGTCACTTCTACCTGAATCAAGATCTGTAAAGGAGAAGGTAAATAATCCATAAGCAATGAAAGCAAATACTCCACTTCTCCCAGGAAGTGCCAGTCATTACAAACACTGTACCCTATTAGCTTACTGCCCAGTAAACAGATGTGTGGGCAGAGTTTGAGATACTACCCACCAGCATATAAGCAATTAATAGCCAAGTGATTTGGCTTTTAATCCCTACAGCCATTTCTGCTTTCAGACAGTTAGAGAACTCTCCTAGCTTAGCATTCCCCTACTGTCTGATCCTTGCAAGAGATCAGCTTTCTGTTCTTTGTGCCCCATTGGATCTGGCATCTGCCTCCAGCACAGTCATTCTCTGGTATTAGGGTGACCACTATCAGTCTGCTCCCCTGACAGACCTTGAGCTCTCTGAGGCCAGGGACCATGTCTCATTTACCTCGGTCCTTGGCAACCTATACACTTCATAACATACAGTAGGCCCTCAGTGGATGTTAACTATTTAGAATTCTACTGTAGGTTCTAATTTATTCATTCAAACTTGAGAAATAAAACAGGCTTCAGAACAATTTTTTAAAAGCACTATCAAATTGAAATAAATCAAATCATGTAACATGAGAGGTGAAAAAATAGATAAAAATACCATTGTACCATGTACAAAAATATATATTCACCATTCACTGGTTTATTCAATAATAGACACTGGTCTTAACACAGGAGCCAGAAAGAAAGCAGACTAGCTCTGCTTCTGCTCCATAATCCCTATGTTATATGCTTATGTTACATTTTGGGTAAATCTTTCTGACCCAGCCTGTAGCTTGGCACCACACATGATAATGCATGTGCTCAGTGTTATGTCAGACCCCTTCCTCCCAAACGCAGCATGGAGGTCAGCACAGCTCCAGGGAGAGCTGGTTACAAAGCTGGTGTAAGAGGAGAGGGAAGCCTCGGAGCAGTGCTTCAGGATCTCACTCCACAGCTTGGGAGCTGGGATGTGCAGGCCCAAGGCCTTCATGAAGGCTGAGCCCATGCTCACCATCCTGTTTGCTCCTCTGTCCCTTGATTGCCTGGGTCCTGGGTCCTGCAGAGAAGCTTCCCTGAAGGCAGAGGTAGCCTTTCCTTATGACAGCTCTTCATATCACGTGTGACTGTTTATTTCCTCACTGCCCCGTGACCTGTGCTCTTGTTCACTGTCGTGTCCCCCGTGCCGAAGCACAAGGTAGAGATGCAGTAACTAGTGCCTGAACAAATGACTAAGCAGGAAGAACAGACCCAGTGTCTCCACTCACATCTGACCAGTGGGCCTGGTGCTGGCCAGACAGGAAGGAGCACATGGGAAGCACTTCTGGATGGGGACAGTTAAGCAAAGAGACACCAACCGTCTCGAAGCTGCTCCATGTCGTCATCGAACACAGCCTCCTTCAGGGCAGTCTTGTCGTAGGTGTTGATGGCATCTGAGTAGGGGTACGGGTTGTACTCTCGCGCCCGCGGCCCCGGGAAGGCACGCGGAGGCTGGGTGTTGAGTAGCGAGGTCTTGTTATCCAGAGCTGTCCGGCCTCCTTCTACCTCGCTGCCCCTGCGGCCCTCGGTGGCAGGAGAGGCAGCGCCCCCATCGCGGGACACCTGGATCACAGCACACTGTCACTTCCCTTCTGGGACTTGTAATGGACATTTCCTTTGAATGCTCAGAAATATTAGGAGGGCCAGAGATTTTCCCTTGAAATATGTATGGCCAGTGGCAAAAAGACAGCTGTTAGTATTCCAATGAATATTAATTTGGTGTGAAAACACCAAATCCATAAACTACCGTAAAAGGAACAACAGGGCTGCATTTGTATCTAGTCTTTACACTTCGAATCTGCTTTACCTTGTAAATTGGTGATTCACTTTACCGAGCTGTCTTCTGAGGGATACCATGCAACTCAGAAGGACCCTGAGAAAGAAAGGCTGTCCACTCACACCCCCGCTCTCAAGGACCACACCAGCCATCGGGGCTTCTCACTGCAGCCCTGGCCCAAATGAATTCCTTGTACTATGTGTATTCCTGCCTAGTGCTGGGCCCCAGCGCTTCACAATCTCCTGTGACAGGGAACCTAGCACCTCCTAGGCAGATCATTCTTCTTTCAGATATTTCTAATTCAGAGTTGTTATGCTGTATCAGAGAATGGGTCTTAAGTATTTTCCCAATTTTGTTTTTTTCCCTAGTATATTCTGAATGTTGTCTTCAACAAATCCAACCGCTGGCCCTCTAACTGGCCCCTTGCCATGGTATTGACCCTACGAGCCCTTCGCTCTTAGGGTCCTCTCCTATGGGGCAAACCAGTGGTCTAACCCCTTTGCAGGTGGCATTGTAGCCCAGCAGGTAGGGGCTGGATGCTGGCAACGGGGCCAGACTGCTTTCCTCAACCCAGACATCTGACTACCTTACAATGGTGGAAACATTCCAGGCAGCCACAACACGTTGGTGATCCCTATGGCAACATTTTTACTTGTGCTGATGACAAGATACATTTCTCTCATTTTGTGCTAATGCATTTATACTTTCTTCCAGTTGTGGAAAAGTATTTTAAAAATTTATAATTCAGTGACATTAAATACATTCATGATGTTGTGTAACCATCACCACTATGTATACCCCCAAAACTTTCTCATCATCCTCAACAAAAACCCTGCACCTCATCCCTCTCCCTTTTTCTGCAACCCCTGACAACCTTTAACATACTTGTCTCTCACAATCTGCCTATGGTGGTACCTCAGATAAGTGGAATTGCTGAACACATTCCACTGTGTGTATATACCACATTTTGTTAGTCTGTTCATCTGCTGATGGGCACTTGGGCTGCTTTCGTCTTTTGGGTCTTGTGAATAATGCTGCTATGAAACAGGTGCACGAATATCTGTTCAAGTCCCTGCTTTCAATTCTTTTGGATTTGTATCTAATGGAGGTGCTGGGATGTGTTTGGTTTTTAACACCCACAAACAAAATTTTATATTAATTTAATTAAGATATAAAAAGTAGTTCTTTAGAGAAGTATAAGAACATCCTCCCTAGGCACCACACCACAACTAGCCACAGGTCTCCTGGATGCTGATCCTGTGCTTATTGGTCTGCCTCTCCCATGACACTGGAGCTCCCAGTAAGCCATGGTGGTGTTTGGTTCAGACTCACCATTTTTATCACATCATGAAACAAAACTGTCCAGAACGAGCAAAAGCAAACTGAGAAAAAAGGCACTTAACATTCCTTGACAAGATAACTGAGGGTTACTCTTTTGAAATTTTATAAAATTAATTATCTTGGGCCTTTCAATACTATTTTATGGTTATTAGCAAAAGGCAAAAAAACAACAAAGGTGAGGATGTGGAGAAAAGGAAATTCTTATATACCGTTGGTGAGAAAGTACATTAGTATAGCCATTATGGAAAACAGTATAGTGGTTTCTCAAAAACCTAAAAATGGAAGTACCATACAACCAACAATTCCACTACTGGGAATTTATCCAAAGAAAAGGAAATCGGTATACCAAAGAGATGCCTACACCCTCATGTTTATTATAGCACTGTTCACAATAGCCAAGATAAGGAATCAATCTAAGTGTATATCAACAAGTGAATGCATAAAGAGAATGTGGCATATATACACAATGGAATACTATTCAGCCATAAAAAGAAATGAAAGGCTATCACTCACAGCGACACAGATGAACTGGAGGACAATTATGTTAAGTGAAATAAGACCAGTATCATATGTTCTCACTCATTTATGGGGACTAATAAGAGTGGAGCTCATGGAACTAGTGAGCAGAAGTGTGGTTACTAGAGGCTGGGAAAGGTGGGGTTGGGGAGGAAAAGAGCCTGGTTAATAGCTACAAAATTACAGCTAGGTAAGAGAAACAAGTCCTAATGCTCTATAGCAGGAGTCCCTAACCCCCAGGCCATAGACTGGTATTGGTCTGTGGCCTGTTAGGAACTGGGCCGCATAGCAGGAAGGGAGCAGCAGGCAAGTGAGTGAAGCTTCATCTTATTTACAGTCACTCCCCATGGTTCACATCACTGCCTGAGCTCCACCTCCTGTCAGATCAGTGGCAGCATTAAGTTCTCACAGGAGTGTCAACTCTACTGTGAACCGTGCACGCCAGGGATCTAGGTTGTGTGCTCCTTATGAGAGTCTAATGCCTGATGATCTGTCACTGTCTCCCATCACCCCTAGACATAACCATCTAGTTGCAGAAAAACAAGCTCAGCGCTCCCACTGATTGTACATCATAGTGAGTTGTATAATTATTTCATTATATATTACAATGCAGTAATAATAGAAATAGAGTATACAATAAATGTAACGTGCTTAAATCATCTGCAAACCATATTCCTGCCCCCTGGCCCAGTCTGTGGAAAAATTACCTTCCACAAAACCAGTTCCTGGTGCCAAAAAGGTTGGGGACTGCTGCTCTATAGTGCTGTGGGGTAAATACAGTTAACAACAGTTTATTGTATAATTCCAAAACACTAGAAGAGAGAATTTTTCAATGTTCCTAACATAAAGAAATGATAAATGAGCTGATGGATGTGCTAATTACCTTGATTTGATTATTATCTCTTAGTCTAGGGATACTTACAATATCACACTCCTTTTTGCCATCTCGTTTAATTGGTTCATTCAGATCTTCTTGGCTTCGAAAACTAAACTTTTCAATGGCTTCTGTAACTCCACGTAGAGAACTATAGATTTCTTCAGAGTTCAGGTTCTCTGTATCATAGTCCAGCATGCTAAAGATCAAAAATATTTATTTATTAAAATGAAGCATATACATAGAACTGAGATATGGGTGTAAGTTACTTCCAGTAATTTACAGAGTAAGACATATTTATAGTTTTGTTTATTGGGTGATTTGGAATGAAAAGGAGACATCTTATTAGAGTACCACCACTGGACAATTACACATCTTCCTTGTCAAATCTGCCAAACACATTACATCAGCACTCAATAAAAACCAGTGGGAAACAACAGTAACCACGAGAATGTAGGAACTCAAAGAGTGACACTGGTGACTGAAGGCACAAGATAATGAAAGTGGAAAAATAACTTTCTTATTTTGAAGATGAAAAAAAGGAGTTTGGTTGTTACTGGTCTCAAATGTACAAACTTAGGAGGAATGGGCAGCTGGAAATAAAGCTAGTAGTACAAACCAATTTCAAAGGAGCAAAGTAAATGACCTCACAAGACTAGGCTATACTCCCAGGTATTCAATCCAGAAAACAAACAAAACCCTATCAAAAACAACCAAAAAAACAAAAACTACCTTAGACTCAAAGTCAGATCCACCCTACGAACAGGCCCAGAAAGTCTAACTCTCACATCATCTCACCCAGAAGCTTGCTGTGAATATCAGACTCTTCTACATCCTTCTATTTGGAGTTTTGTAATTAAAGCAGATTTTATAAAAAGTCACATTCCTGGATGGATATCTAAAAATCCTCATAAAAGCGAGAAATATTTGTTGTTCAGGGAAAAGTGTTATCGACTGCTGTCTTTATAGACACTGGGCAGAGCAAAACATGAAATGAAGTGCAAAAACCAAACAACCCTTTTTGGTGCACGGTAGTTTGCAACAAGTGCCTTTTAGAATCCTGAGAACAAAAACCATCCTGAGAATATAAAAGAAAAGCATGGGATGGACGTATCAGCATAAAGCAAGCAAAACATGAAGCAACAGTCAACCAAGGGCAAGTTAAAAAAAAAAATCTTAGTTTTAGTGTCACTTATTTCAAGAAAGTTTCAAGAAAAGATCAGATGGGTTCATCTAATTTAACTTTCAGGAAGTCCTGAACTATACTGAGGATTGCTAGGGACACACAAAGAATCTTTGGCTATGCATAAGTAAGCATGCAACATTGTTTAAGGACTAAAGAAAAGCAATCTTCCTGTTCCTCAAAAGAGTAATAACCAAAGAAACTAAGTATCCTTCCTACAAACAACACAACCAATCCTGTATATTCCTAAAGTGAGTTTCCTGTCATGTAAAAATGATGAACATTTACTAAGTACTCTTCCTTGAGTACTCTGCCTTCAAACAAAAAAAGTGTGGGCAGATGAGCAAGATAAGACTTGGAGAGCTCCCACTTGAAATGGCTAGATCTCTACTGGCTTGATGTTGCAATGATCCAAGTGTTTTCTAGGGCTGGTGCTGGTAGGTTCTAGAGCCCAAGAGCTGACCACACTCTCCAAGATGGGAGCTATTTGTCTACAATTATAAATATGGCCCAGATAAAATCCACCTTTCCTGATGAATGAAAGAAAATACACAACCCAACTGCATTTGGAGAGTTCACAAAAAAACATTCCAACTCAAAAGACTGACTTGACCATCAAACAAAGAGAAATGTGAACCCTGAACAGGTTTGCTGTTGAAATTCCAGGTCTATAACTGACAGGAAGTATAATAAAAAACCTGAACAGAATTTAAGATCTCAACCTCGTCTACCTTCACAAGGCTATCTATCAAAAAGGCAACACTCCTTAGATGTGAGGAACGCATGACCGAGGGGCCAGAGGCTCCCCTCCTCCTTCTGAGAATATCACAATACAAGGCATTTATACATCTGGCCAGTACACTTATTTTTAATATATAAAGACTGAGTATTATGACTCAAATAAAAATATATATACAACATGTAAAAAAAAAAAAGCCTTAAAATACTTTTAATCACAACAACCAAAATTAACAGCATAGCCCATGCAAAAGAAAAAAAGTCCAAAAAACTGAATGATGGGATGAACAAGAGGAAGTCTGGCGGAACGTTCAAGTTTTTTAAGGGATGTCACAATATTATTTTCCATTATGTCGCTTCAGATAATTCATCTCATTATTCTTAACTTGAACTTTCTTAAAAATTATTTCATTTCAGTTCACATAACTTCACTCTTACAATAGCCTCTTTTATTTTTAAAATAGGAAAATAAAGGATTCTGCTAGTAATTTCCTTTTTCTCACTTTCAATTAATAAACCAACTCCCACTCCCAATTCAGGAGCACCATTTGCAGAACCAAGAACAATCAAAGGTGTCTTCTTTTACACTTACTAGCTTGAGGTTTGAAGTATCTCCTTGGTATGAAGCTAAAACTGTTTGAGCTCCAGGTGACAGACATAACTGTTTACCTCTAACAGGAAATGGACCACGCTACTTTCTTTGCTATCTTTATGCTGTGACTTGACTTGTATTTTTCCAAATCAGTAACTGTTAAGTTCTCACTTATAGGAAAAAGAACTTCCCATGAAAGCCATCATCAGGGAGGGTAGATAGTGTGTCCTCACAAGCAGTATATAAGGGAGCAGCACAGCAGGACAGCCTTAGAAGCTGACTGAGAAGAGACCTGGGGAAACCTCAATCTGCCATCTGCCCCATAGCCTGTCTTGTTTCAGCCCGGAGACAACTCCAGGACATACTCCTAGGGTTAAAGGTCAGGCCCTGGTCACCTGTAAACACTCTGGTTAGAATCCAGAAGGGCTCCCTTAGAGTATTTAAGATTAGGGAGAATTGCTTAATCAGTTAATAGTCACTGACTAAGGTTAGGCCATGCCACCCAACATGGAAGCTGAATGCAGCCCTGGGCTTGCCCACTAAAGGATCCATGGTGTGGGTAGGGAGGAGAGCATGGGGTCAGGTCTCCAAGAAGAGAGAAACTGGAGAGAGAAGTCTGCCTTCATTGTCATTTTGTAGGGAAAGGATACAATGCATAGAATAAGGACAGTCATTCCTTGTTATGGAATCAATAGGATTTTGGCACAGAGGAAAGAGACAGACATATAGATTCCCTCTTAGTTTTATGGAACTGATAGGCTTTCTAAATGTAAAAGTCTCTAGTCAACTATCTCTGCCTCCAATGGGCAAAAGAAGTTGTAAGTATTTGTTAAGCATTCTCTTTTAATGAGTTAGGTCAACATGTATCGTTGTGTATATATGTGAAAGGTGATCCTAGGGATGGGATGTGGTCTGGAGGGCAATCTTGATGCCTGGCTGGTGGAGAAGCTGAGTGCCCAGGAGAGGACGCAGATCAACATACTGGGAGACAGTCAACCAACTGATCTTACACTTGGAGGAACAGCTAACCTTAAAAAAAAGAAAGACAAAGGAGTGAACTGCTTTGTCAAAATTAAAGACAGCAGCCATCTCCTCACCTGCTTGCCCTAACCTTGTGTATCTAGAAACATTCATCGCAGGGTTCTCTGTACATTTTAGAAGTGGCTTTCAGCGGTATAACAGCTTCAAAAGGAAGGTGTTGTTAATGTATTTCATTTACTATTTTTGGCTTCACTATGTAGATTATTTGTATTCCACAAAAGTCAGAATGCAAATCTGCACAAAAGCTATCTATGAAGCATTTCAAAAGTAACAGGCCATTTTTTAAAACCCTTTTCCTATCACACCCTCTATCGTAGAGGGTAGAAACTCATCTCACAAAGCACAATGACAGCTGTACTGCCTGGTGCTCTAACAGGTTTCTAGGGAAGAGATTATCTGATCTCTGGACCTTATAAAAAGCACCTCCAAGAGATCCTGAAACAGACATGTGCAGTACTATGTGAACTGTTCTTTGTACAACAGATTTACCATCTGTCAGCATCTGAGGGAAGCCCACCTCTTCTTCCAGACTCATAACACCAGTGTCCATGATGCCATACTCGGCATCAACTGTGGGGGTATGTGAGGTGACTGACAGTTCTTCTTAGAAGCAGGGCATCCTCAGTGAGCTGTTAACAGTTACCCTGCCTCTTGGGGATTCCCTTCTGGACGTGTATGCTCAGACTACCCCCATATCAGAGTATGTTAGGAAAGAAATCAGCTATAGTCAATAGCATGGCTCAGAGTGACAGGTGTGGTTTGGGAAAGAGTAGGTCTCTTTGACTTCTCAGGGGAATGCCTTCTGCACTTGAGATGCATGCTAAGGAAACTGCTCCCACTGATGCCCATGCTGACCTCACAGCAATTCCTGAGCTCCTTCTGGGGCCTGAGCACTGCACTGTGCAGAAAGGCCCACCACAATAGGTGGTGATGAATCTGGTCAGGTTATCAAGGGTCATCTGTGTCTGTGACACAGCAGGAACCATACTTGTGAGATCTGGCAAAGATCACACACCTGCTCACACTTCTCACCAAGGCTCTACTCCTGCTAGGTGACACCAAGGAAGGGACCATACTGGAGGCAGCTTAGAGGCTTTCCCAAAGACCTGAGACGACCTTGGAAATGCAATAATATTGTGACACCTCAGACAAGTTTGACAGGTAGCTTGTTACCTGGGAGAGTAAGAGCGCCTGAGAGCCTTGTGGGAAGGAGCGGTGGGGATGGAGTTAGGCTGAGAAAAGGGAGGTGGGTGCTTCGCTAACCCGTCGGCACTCCAACCCCACAACCGACTGCAGTGATCAGAAGAGGAAAATCAGAGAGAGAAATACAAAAAGCAAAGGGGAGGGGAGGAGGAAAGCACTACACGCTAAGTGTCTTAGTCTCCTCTTTCCTTGACGAAGTTCTATTAAAATTAATCAGAGCAAAATTAGCACTTCATCATACAGAGAAAAGAACAAATTTTGTTTTACAATTTGGTCCTCGATGAGACCACTTTATTCTTTCCCTTCCCAACCATGGAATGTGTTTACTACTTAAAATCACATGAGATTCCATGTGTGGGATTGTGTGTATGTGTGAGTACGAGGCGGTGTGTGTATCTGCATGCACTGGGATGGACATAACAAGCACGATACATAAGAAAATATGGATGCTCACCTTCAGATAACTAACTAACTCATCAGTTATTTTAGAAAGAACCAAAGAAGAATTATGGGGCCTCAATTCAAAGGGGACCAGAGGGACTCCAGCAGGAAGACTCAGAGACTGAGCTACTCTGCTCAGAGCACTCCAGCGTGGAGCAGTGCATTCTCTAAGGCTGTGATCCAGCTGGATGTCATTCAGAGACAGCACAGCTGTTTCCTTCTGAAACAACAGCAGCACCACTAGAGGGCTAGCATGTTAAGTCTCAGCTGGCCAGCTCAGAGTACAGGTACAAAAACCAAATCTTTCTGCTCATATCACCTAGTATGAGAACTGAAACTTTTGGGGGAACACAAGTATTCATCCTCCCTTCACAACTGTCACTGGATGCCTGGGCTTGCAGAGGCCCTGAAGTAAAGTTCTAACAACTGCTGCAATTCAAAAAGAAGGAGAAAGAGACTGGGAAAGCGGGGAGCTGGGCTGGTTGGTGATGGGGGTAAGGCCCCAGGTAGAGCCCACGGCATCAGCACCAGGCACCTACAGAGCAGCCCTTCCTGCCACTGGCATGCATTGGTGTCCCCACAGCAGGAGCCTCTGCATGCTAGACTCCCCTGAGCACAGGTATGGCCCTGCTTTATAAGGAAAATGAGGTACTGAGATGCCAAGTCACTGCGATACAGAGGCCTAAAGACACACTGGCCTCTGTGGGGCACACACTGGGTTGCAGGTGGGGATATAGCAGGAATGCAGGCGACACCTCAGGCTGGGTCTCTGCTTGGGGAAGGAGCAGCAGACCCACCCACCTCTGAGTGTGCGGTGGGGTCACCCTGTTAGGCGTCACTTTATTCTATCCATACTCTGGATCCTCTGACGAGAGGATCACTAACAATTACTTCCTATTGCTAGGGACATACACGCTATTTACACAGAATCATCTGCTCTATGACATGTCTGCTGAGAACATATAGCAGACCAGATTATTTCTGAAGCCCCTTGCAACTCTGTTTTTCATTTACCATAAAATCACGAGGTAAAATATAAATATGTTTTTCACAATGAAAGAACCTAGCACATAGATCTCTTCTCCAAATACCAAGTAGTATTTGTGTATTAGTTGGTAATAGGTGGTTTATTCTTTCACACAGAAATGTAATGGAATGTTTTACAGAAGTTTCACCTATTATCTACAGCATCTCTACTACTACTGGGTTGATAAAAAAACAACTGCCTCACTGGTGATATATATATATATATTATGTTAAATTAAAGACAGGGTCTCATTCTGTTGTCCAGACTGGAGTGCAGTAGCATGATGATGGCTCAGTGCAGCCTCCCTGTCCTGGCTCAAGCAATCCTCCCACCTCAGCCTCCCAAGTAGCTGACACCATAGGTGTATGCCACCATGTCTGGCTAATTTTTATTCTTTGTAGAAACAGGGTGTCACTATGTTGCCCAGACTAGTCTCAAACTCCTGGGCTGAAGCAATCCCCCCAATCTTGGCCTCCCAAAGTGCTGGGAGTACAGGTATCAGTCACCATGTCTGGCCACTAGTGATACTTTTTAAAAACGATCAGATTTATCATTTTAGAATGGTTTCTGATTCTCATCATGATCCAAGTATAGAATTTTTGGACTAAAAAAAGTTCGTTATGACAGTTAAAATAGACTGAAAACAGGCCAGGTGCAGTGGCTCACTGTATTAGTAATTCCAGCACTTTTGTGAGGCAGAGGCGGGCAGATCACCTCAGGTCAGGAGTTCGAGACTCCATCTCTACTAAAAATACAAAAATTAGCCAGGCATGGTGGTGTATGCCTATAGTCCCGGCTACCTGGGAGCTGAGGCAGGAGAATTGCTTGAATCCAGGAGGCAGAGGTTGCAGTGAGCAGAGATCATGCCAATGCACTCCAGCCTGAGCAACAGAGTAAGACTTGGTCTCAAAAAAAAAAAAAAAATGACTCAAAACAAATAATTGGTAATAGCTTTTCCCCTACAGAATAAAAAGCTAACACTGTCTGGTCAAGATAACTCAAAGGAATGGCAGGTCACAGAAAATCAACACTTCCAGGGCAATGCTCAGAAAAACAGCTGAGATTATATACAACAGATCTGTATACCTGTCTTTAGTCTCCTTAGAATAAGGTAACTTAGTCAATTCTATTTAGTGCAAGAATCCATGTCTTTTATCATTTTCCTGTTAGAAAATACGTAGCCTATTTGAACAGTTCTAGTGACATGATGACATGAGGCAGTTTTTCCCACTGCTAGACAGTTTCAGTTGCGAGAAAAATAATTTCTCCAGTGAGCTCCAATTGGCTAAGGCTATCATGCTATTTATGCACTGAATGATGGCAAGTTTAAAAAAACCTTTTTCTACCAAAAAGAAACTACATAAATAATTCCCTAAAGAAGAATTTGATAAGAAAATATTTAGACCACACATGAACTATTTAATATTGAAAATAAATCTCTTCATTTCTTCTACTAATCTGTAACTATAACTAAAAATTAAATTGAGGCCAATTAAGAAGGAATAATGACCTTGAAAAGCAAAATTTTTAGACCTGAGGACCCATGAAGATTGACTTAGCCAGTTCTTAGCTCTGATAAATGATACTAATAGCACTACCAAGTTTTTACTTAGATTAGTAGCATAAATAATAAAATGCTTAATTTGAGTTATACCTTTTGACTTATTACCTAAAGAATGTGGTACTCTTAAGAATGCAGTAACTAAAAGATAAGATGTATGAAGTATATATTATGGGAGAAAGACTTTGCAATTAATGTTACATAAGTATCTCTTCTAAACAGAGACAACAATTTACAGAGAATTCAAGTTTTCCACAAAACTTTCTCCACTAGGAAAGATGATTTTATGATTTTACTGTCATCACTGGACCACCATATTCTTTAGATACAGATGGTAGCATAAGAAAAAAAATGGCTGAACCTCAGTCACACCTGGGAAAGCCAAGCATATTTTCATTAGTCTCTGGTCTCAATTGTTTAATTGTAACAGCCTGTTGAAGTCAAGACAACACAGACCAAATCTGGAGCCATAGTATCATATTGCAGTCTACCTAAATATAGTGCAGAGGGACATTTGGGGGAGTCAACATAAGGGCAATTTAAACAGCAAGGTAAGATAGGTATAGAAAATAAACTGCAAACTTCTTATGTTCCAAAGTATTTAAAGGAAATGAGGAGCTAGAAAACTTCGGTGATAAGGAAGAAGTGTAGGAGATTCTTGATCATTTAATGAACCAAATATAAAAGCAATTATGTTTTGATGTCTTCTTAGGAAGGAGGTAACCATTAAGGGAAAAAAGCATGCTGTGGTATTTTCATTTCATTTTAAGATCTTGGTGTCAGTACTCCTCAGGACAAAAGCGTCCTAGTTTGTATTGTTAGTGATCCCAAAGAGTTAGGCTTCTTGTAGACAAACAGAGCATGCGTGCCCCTTTCTGGTCCAAACTCTGGCTCTTTCCTAAAAATTCCGGCAACTACTTTGAGTGGGGCCATGGGTAACTTCCAGCCCATGTGAGGGGGTCACTAAAGCCACCATGCAGACTTCTAAAGGCTCTGGTCAGATGGTGAAGTATTATCTAAAGATCTCAAGACAAAGCAGTTTCTCTTTTTTTTTTTTTTTTTTTTTTTTGAGACGGAGTCTCGGTCTGTTGCTCAGGCTGGAGTGCAATGGTGTGCTCTTGGCTCACCGCAACCTCCGCCTCCTAGGTTCAAGCAATTCTCCTGCCTCAGCCTCCCAAGTAGCTGGGATTACACGTGTGCACCACCACGCCCGGATAAATTTTGTGTTTTTAAGTACAGACTGGGTTTCACCATGTTGGTCAGGCTGGTCTTGAACCCCTGACTTCGTGATCTGCCTGCCTCAGCCTCCCAAAGTGCTGGGATTACAGGTGTGAGCCACCGTACCCAGCTAGTAGTTTCTCTTTTTAAGTCACTGCCTCAGCTTCTGTAAGGTCAATCTTAGCATGGTCCCAACAAGAGTATGAAATGTTGATCCAATTTTAGTTCCCAGATTCTAAATCCCACTCCTTCAGAGCAGCATTTGGCTTCAAACATGATAGCAACTATGTTTAGAATGACCACTTGGTTGAAAAACTACCCGAGACTTGGTGTAACTGACATAACAAGTTTGCTTAGATGACTAAATACCTTCAGGTTCTATTACTTGCAGAACAGGTAATGAGCTGGATTTTATATAACATGGATTCTATGTAAAACAGTACTAAATGCAAACTTTTAGTTGAGGGTACTATTAGGCACTAGTGAGTGTTTAGAGGTACAAGAACCACAGAGAACACTCAGCACACACCACTCAACTTACCACCATAGAACATGGTAAGTTAAGATTTGCATAATCTTTGCATAAGATTATGCAGTTACAATTTGAGTGAGGACTAAAACCCACGGTTCTTGATATTCAACATTCTTTTTTGTTACTTAGCTTAGTCTAAAAATTTAGAAATAGGCTGCACTGCAACTAAGGTGCTTTAGTTTCTTTACTTCTGTGGAAAGTAAAGGAGTGTCCTTACCTTGGAGACAGACCCCCATGGGAACAGTTGGTAGGTGAGGTCAGGGGGCTGGTCCTGCTGCTGGTGTGTCGGGAAGGTGTTCGGCCAATCGTATTGCTTGGAGAGCCCTGAGGTGAAGCAGAATAGGCATCGTTGTTCAAGGGCTGTATATAGAATATTGTTCTATTCTTCCCTTGGTCTTTTAACCCACATGTAAATGAATGCATAGAATCTGCCCAGAATGGTTATCTGTTTTTTCGGAATCATAAGGCCAATTTTAAGTGTATATGAACCAAAAATGAATCATCATCATACAGGCACTCCTGGAGTCGAATGATTGATGTTGGTTGGGCTAGAGTGAAAGACACAACTGAGAATTTGCATCTTTACAGTATTGAAAAATAAGACCAACTCAGTGAATGAATGACTAATTGGATAACCTAGTGAAAATGCAGCCGAACAACCTAAGAATAAAGGTTATACTTAAATACCAGATTCATTCACTCACTGGGCTTATGATGGCCCCATCGTCAGGATGCTCAACATTTACTGAAAGAGAACAGGGAACTGGGCTATTCCATTAGGGTAGATTCTACGTAAGGGCTGCACAGAGTCATGGACATCACACAGGCACCGGCTGTGACCAAAGCACTCACCACACTGGTGTTACTGGAATTCTTGAGGTGGTTATGCAGGAGTTTGGTGGCACCATCCTGGAATGTTTTTGGCAAGGCACCAAGTAACATGGTAAATTCAGGAGTATTCAATTCAAACAGAGAGATTAGCACAATTTGTGCTGCCTAGAAAAAGGAACCATGATTAATTTATATAATGTATAATAGTGGTCCTTCATCAAAATGTTGATTTAAATTTTTTTTAAAAAATATTTTTATAAGTAAAATCACTAATAAGAGGGCATTCTAGGCATCAAAAACAAAAAGCATCTGAAGAAAATACTGTCAATCGTAAGTAGTCTGACTTCAATCTGGAAAATAAACGCTGGCTTCATTTTAATGCCCTGGCCTTGGAATTCCACAGCATATTAATAATAAATTCCTAGAATTTTTCTTTTGTTGGATGATTCTAGGAAGGAAGCTGGTAAGTGGGTAAGGGAAACAAAAAAATTTTAAAAGTTTAAGATTGATCCTACTTTAATCATTTAGAACTGAACAGGGACCTCAGTGCACCCTGAAAGCACAAATTTTCAAACATGCTGCATTAGGTTTTCTTGAGAAGCCACACTCCTCTTTACTAAGAAACACTAGAAAAAGAGTATAAATACCTCTGAAAAACTTCTACTTTTATACCTATAAGCCAAGGAGAGCGAGTTCTGAGAAGCAAACTGTACTTTAAAGGAATTGACATTAAAAACGTGCTCTGCAGCTTTTCGGAAAATGTTCTACTTTTGTTTATTAATTGAGTCAACACACTGCAAGCCTGCTTGTAATGACTGTGGTAGCGAGGTAGGCAAAGCAATGAGCTGAAACAACAGTGGTCAATGAGACTCAGGCTTCTAGTAAGTGATGTGCTTTCTATAGATTTAGTAGCAGGCAATCTAAGCCTAAAGCACAATGCCTGAGGAATTAATTACAATAGTTTTGATTTACAAAAGCTAAGCCAAAAAAATTTTTAGTAAATAATAATTGGCATTTCTTATTAATTTCTAAGAGTCGAGAAAAAGAAGAAGACACAAAACTGTTTCAGTGAATACAATCACCTCTTTATCATTTTTAACCATAAAGACTTTACAAACATAGTCTTTCCAAGGACTATAATTTTAAAAATTGTGGTAATTATTCAGAATTTTTTTCTATGACATAGAATATTACACAAAAATGTGCTTGCAGAGAGTTTTGGAATTAAACATCACAAAATATTTCAATGCTTTTACAATGTTAAAATTAGTGATAGGTCCAGTTAGGACAAAAGTACTATTCTGTCCATGGAGAAGGAAAAGAAATCCAAAAACCCAAAGGTATTTAACCAAAAATAAGAATTATGAATTTGAAAGTTTAATCAAAAATTACTTTTACATTTTGAAATCATTCATTAAGCACAGCATTGGGCAAAAGCACATTACTGTTTTCCCCTTTAATTTCAAATACAGTCATTAAAATAGCTTTTCCACCCAAATTAAATCATAAGTGGTCAAAATATTTTTATGGCATGGGTAAAAGCATTATCGACTGTACTAAAATATATTTTTCTATATTTCATTTTGGAAACATTTTAAATAAATAATCTGAAGGAAACTATTTCACCATCAATTTAATGTACTATTAATTTGATATGTATATTTGTATAATAGAACAATTTCCAAAACTCATGCAAAGTAAACTGTATTTTTTAAAAACATTGTATTAGGTGTTAGAAAAAAACAACGCATGCAGAAAAATAATGCACTACAAGGAGAAAGAAAGCAGCAGCCTAGAATCGTAGCAGGAAAAACACATTAATGCCATCAATTTAATTCAAAAATACTGGCATTTAAATTTTGTTGATTGAAAATGGCATTTGAATGTTATAAAATATATGATTGCATTCTTGAATAGCATGTTTTTTTTTTTAATGTGAAATGTGCCCTGCCTTTGTTTAAGAGACAATATTTCTTCCCAGAATGATGTTATCTAATGTCACAAGCTAACTTGAGGCTTTTCATGAAGCAAATTATAAACTTAGTAGCTTAAAGTGTTTCCAAAGTAAAATCTTTTAAAAATAAGATCCAAGTTCTCGAAACTGGCAGAAAGTTTCATTTAAATATACTTTTTTTTTTTTTTTTTTTTTTAAAGAGATGGAGGTCTCACTATGTTGCCCATGCTGGAGTGCAGTGGCTATTTACAGGTCCAATCATAGTGCACTGCAGCCTCGAACTCCTGTGCTCCAACCGATCCTACCGCCTCCGTCTCTGGAGTAGCTGGGACTATAGGCATACATCACAGCGCCCGGCCCAGGTATCCAATGTTTAAAAGATTTTATATCACAGTTTTACAAGAAATTAGACTGTTATGGTTCTCAATTATTTTATTTCCGACCCTCTGAATTAATGATAGGTTAAAATATGGAATCCAATCAAGGAGGAAAACTGGGTTATATTTATCACTACCATCAATGATACGATCTCATTAAACAAGTAATTCCAGATATGGAACTAGGTTGGAGAGATGCATTTAGAAAAAGCCTGGGGCATTGCTCATGTTCACTAGTGACTCAAAAAGTGGAGTATGCCACTGTTCTTGTCTGTGTATCTGCACTGCTGTCTTTATAAGAGGCAAGACCATTAGGCGGCCAGATGAAAAACTGAGTACTGCTGACATTTTCTAATGGGCAACCCTAGTGCAATTTATTTTAAGGATGAATGGCAACTTAAAATGAAATGATTCTCACACGCATCCTCATTGAAGAATTTTTTTTCTTTTTAAGATAGGGTTTCACCATGATGGACAGGCTGGTTTTGAACTCCTGACCTCAGGTGATCCACCCACCTTGGCCTCCCAAAGTGCTAGGATTACAGGCGTGAGCCACCACGCCCGGCCTCTCATTGAAGAATTTGAGGGGTAGAGTTTGTAAAAGGTTCTTCACATCTCACTGTTACTGGCTGAAGAGAGAACTCCCAAGGACATCAACTGTCTGGAATGTTGCACACCTTATAGCAGAAAGGAATTGTTCCTAGCAGATCAGAGCAAAATAACACTTTGCCAAATACTTCAGTGTTCCTAATAATTTGGGAAAACAAAACTTGAGAGGAAAAGCAGTTTTCCAATTTATTGAACCTCACTGTTCCCTTCATACTGTCATTAAAAATTGTTTCGTAAAGACACCAGAGAAACAATTTCAAAACTGTCAGACATTTCTCATTTGGTATCTCTCTCTCTTTTTTTTTTTTTTTAGAGACGGGGGTCTCACTATGTTGCCTAGGCTGGAGTACAGTGGCTCTTCACAGGCATGATCACTGTGCACTGCAGCCTTGAAAATCCTGCAATTCTCCTGCCTCAGCCTCCCAAGTAGCTGGGACTACAGGCATGTGCCACTGTGCCAGCCTACTATCTCTCCTTTTTACTCTTCTGTTAAAATATGGTAGTTGTTGACACAATCATGGCTATTCCACTGAGAAGGTAGTTAATCATAAAACACACCACCACACAAACACTGACACAGGCACACATATACACACTCATACAGTATTAATTTTAGGTTTCTCAAAAGCTTCCCAGTGCCTTCTCAAGGACAGCTGGTATTAATAATCTAAAAAGCAAACAGTGAAGTATGCTGTTTGAAATTAGTACACAGTTTTCAATCTACCTGTTTACAACTTTCTTCCAAGTTTCCTTCTCCAGGCCCGGAGCAGGTTGAAGCTGACCTAGTGGGGAAATCCTCACCTACTCGACTACGCTGATGCGAGGACTGGCAAACAGGAAAGGTGGGAGGATTGAATCAGAGAGAAGCAGAAAGTGCCTAACCACGGCAATCTGTTAGCTGTAAAAGCATTTGGCTTCTTAGATAAAATCAGTGAGACACACATGATTGAAAGTTAGGAAGAATCAGAATAATAACAGTAGCCGCCAGTTTTAACCCTCAGTAGTATCATTAGGTCTTTTACTTAATAATCCTGAAAGCAGTACTCTTGCTTCAGGTGATGAAATGGAAGACGTCAAAACAAGACTTGAAAGAGGCCAGGTGCCGCAGCTCATGCCTGTAATCCCAGCACTTTGAGAGGCTGAGGCGGGCAGATCACCTGAGGTAGGAGTTCGAGACCAGCCTGGCCAATATGGTGAAACCCCCCATCTCTATTAAAATACAAAAATTAGCTGAGCATGGTGGCACGTGTCTGTGATCCCAGCTACCCAGGAGGCTGAGGCAGGAGAATCACTGGAACCCCAGAGGTGGAGGTTGCAGTGAGCCGAGATCATGTCACTGCACTCCAACCTGGGTGACAGAGCGAGATTCCATCTCAACAATAACAACAACAAAAAAAGGCTTGAAAGAGACTCACAGTCACAGTTAAGCTGAGATTCCGTTATTTGATAGTAAAACCCTTAGCTTTCAGAATAGAGGCATGCTGGCTTTACAATCATGTATTTTTTTTAAAGTCAATTAGAAATCTTACCTTTTCAAGGCTATTTATATATTAATACTTCTCCCTGCTCTAGCCAACAGCATCTTTATAATTCTAGGTTTCTTTGCCATGCCTTCACTGCCCACACTTCTCAAAACAAGGTTTGGGGGCTAAATCTTTTGCTTCATTTGACAAAGAGAATCACATATAATAAGCAAACGTACAGGCATTCTAAATTCCAAAACGTAAACATGCAATTAAGTGGCAGAGGCAGAAATCAAACGGAGATCGAACTCCAGAATCCACCTTCTTTCTATCAGTAATATATTTTATTATCTTATGTCAACAAGGTGCATTAAGAACAGCTAGTGTACGTCTGCATAGTAACATCACACAACTAAACCAGTCAGGGATTCCACAATGAGGAAATGGAAGACTTGACTTTTGGAATAAGGCAGGGCAGTTATAGACTGTGTTGGGCTTTTTCCTCTTGTCCAAACCAGTCTCAGTGAGGTAAGCACACCTCATTGGTGACTGTGTTTTGGTTTTAAAAACATCTTAACAATTTAAGCACCCCTCCCACCACAATGTGAAACACCAGGACATACTGAGCTAAAGAAAAACAAAATGTTTAAAAAAGCTAAAATCAATGAATTTGGGCCATATCAACTTGTATCCGTCTGAAATGCTTCAAAGTGCTTTCACAAATACAGTTGTATGGACTTAAGAGAGTAAATTACGTTGTCTGAAAAAGTTCTCAGGTACTGTTTACATAAAATATTCTCTAGAGATGAGTTTAATATGAGAATTTACTGTATACATTTCAGACTGGAGGGCTCTTCTGCATTTAGAATATAACCCTACCCTAACACAATTAAAGCAGGACATTAACAGAACTTGGTTTAAAAACACAAAATGCTTTAAAAAATCACCAAGATTTCCATAATCCCTGATATAACCTTAAAAAACTCTGGAAATGAAGGATGAGGCAGAACAAAGTTTATTTATACAGACATGTATTTTACATTTAGTGTGGTAAATTATCTAGACAGGAATGGCCCTAGTTTTATTTTTATACAGCTTTAAAATGAACAGTGATATATACTACATCACGATTGCTAAGTATTTTAATTTGTTTAGGTACTAATATCATTTTGACAATGCTTCAAGAACATCTCATATTCTTGGGTAAGGCAACTGCATCACTTACAAAAGCAACTATATTTATAGATGTCCAATGGACGGTACATCAAAACAGGGAACTTAAATAAAAGTGAGTATACCTCCAAAGAAGATTAAGCAGTGTCCTAATGTAGGCTTTGAGGACATTATTTAATACTATGCTATGATATGCCTATTTGAATCAAATAGTAATGCTTTACTAGTTAGTGCTGAATGCCTACTGAAAGCCAAATAGTTTAGAGACACAAACATCTTGGATGATTAAAAAAAAAAAATCTAGAGGGTGCCAGAATACAGACATGTAAGTTGAACCACATTACAATTTGCAAAGATAGGTAAAAAAGCTCCCTCCTAAAATAAGAGCGAGGGAATTATGAAGCATTCTGCCAACCCACTAAAAGAGACACCAAAGCCCCGGTAGTCAAGACACTATGATGGCCCCCAAGATTCCCCAAAATGTATTATGCCCTATATAATCCCCCCCACCCTCAGAGTAAGTGGGACTTATGAATACAATGGATATCACGCCCATGATTGTATTACATGGCAGAAGGGATTTTCAAAAATGTAATTTAGGCCCCTAATCAGCTGACTTTGAGTTAATCCAAAGGGAGATTATCCTGGGTGGGCCTGACCTAATCAGGCAAGTCCTTAAAAGGTATCAGAGAGATTCAAAATGAGAGAGATTCTATGGCTGGCTTTGTTTTAATTTCTCCTTTGTTTTTGAAGAAGAGTCTTGCCAGACAGTGAATTCTTGGCTGACAGTTTTTTGTCTTTCAGACCTTTCAATGTCATCCACTCCCTTCTGTCCTCTGTGTTTCTGATGAGAAATGAGCTTCTAATCTTATCAAGGATCTCGTACATGGGATGAGTTGCTCCCCTCTTGCTACTTTCAGGACTCTCTCTTCGGCTTTCAACAGTTAGATATGATGCGTCTGCGTAGTGGATCCTTTTATTAAAAAAATCTTAGTTTGTTGGGCTACTTAGATGGGTAGGTTAACGTTTTTCATCAAATTTGGGGGGTTTCTTAGATATTATTTCTTCATATATTCTCGCGATGGCTTTAAACAAGCAAACTTCCTGGCAGCCTCTACTAGCTGAGAATGGCTCCCCGTTGATATTCAGCAAGAAAGCAGGCAGCTCAGTTCTACACCTGTAAGAGGCTGGAATCTGCCAAGAGCCAATGAGCTGGAAGAAGACCTCAGCCTCATATGAGACTGCAGATCCAAATGACATCTTGATATCAGCCTTTGAGATACTAACCAGAAGGCCCAAAGAACATATGCCAGATTCCTGATTTATTACTGTGAGAGAATAGATCTGTCTTGTTTCAAGCTAAGTAAGTACAAGTTTGTTATACAATAGATAACAAATAAAGAAGTCAAAAGAAGGGAACTTTCAAAACTATAGTTTAAAAAATGATGGCTTCAAGTATTATTTGAAGTGAAATCATTTTCATATGGGTATTTATCATTCATTAATTCATTCAAAATATGTATTAATGCCTACTGTGTTATTCCAGGTGTATGCCAGGCACTGAGCATGCAGGGTGAGCAAAACATTCTCCTTACTGCTCAACTTCCCAAACCCTCTGCTTCAGTCTATTTCACTGTTCCAGACAAACCTCATTTCTTACACGTGACTACTGTCCCTCCCCTAAACCCATCACTTATGCAAACTGCATCCATATTCCACATCTGAGGATGAATCTTGTCTTCTCTAGGAAGCTTTCTATGATCAATACAGAGTGCACTGAGCTGACAATATGCAGAAAACCAGGCAGGTATTCCATCAGTTTGAAGAAGGTGCCCAGGGTAACAGGGCCCTAACCACTAGAATGGGTTTAGAGGAAGCACAAGAACTCTAGGTACGAGGTAGGAGGGAGGTGGGGAAGATGCCAGGGAACAGAGAGGCCAAGCCTAGTCCTGAAGATACTGTGAAGCAACACTGCGTAGCAAGGGAACTTACAGCAACCAGATCAACACTGTATCAGCAGTGTGTCTGTCCTGAGGTTCATTCCAGGGCCATGGCCCAAAATACTGGGCCTTGTCTATGCATGAAAAATCAGTCACGAGTGAAAGAAACTCCAATTAAAAAAAAAAAGAGTGTCTAGGCTCTACCCTATACCAACTAAATCAAATTACTTGGAAACAGAGCTCAGAAATCGACATCAATTTTAATTGCAGCCAGGACTGTGAACTTAATCTAAATCTTCTCAAACTCCTCTGAAGATCAGGATCATTGTCCTAGAACCTGAGTGTAAGTTCAGTGTGAAAGTAAGGAGTTAAGCAGAACTCACAATGGGCAAGGAGAAAAAAGGGGCAGGCATGGAAAGCAGCATGCCAGCGGAGACAAAGCTTTGTGAAGTAACACTGTATAATCCAAAATAACTGAAAACAAGTGTTGAAGCTCATTCAAACAGTAAATGAACAAAGTGTTTCCAGCAATAAATCTAATTTCCTATTTATATTTGGCTTGAGCTAGGATTAAAATAAGTTGAGGTTTTTGGAGCCTCAGGCTGATAATAACTGTATATAATGTTCTGATTAGAACACTAAGGACAATAAATCCTAGTTCACATATTCTAATGTGCATGTCCACAGAGAGTAGGCATTATGATCAAAGCTAGTTTGTCCCACACAGGCCCTAATTGAGGTATTATGTGAATCTAAAACAGGTTTCAACCCATAGCAGGCAATACTTAAGTAACATTCTATTACAAAAGCACATACTCACATATCACACGCATACTTATATACTACATATTGGAAGATGTTTGCTCTTTTTTAAGAATCTATTACATCTTATTAAGCTTTTCAACCACATTTTACAATAAGGGACCCTGCAGCCAGCTAGCCCTAGATCTGCAATTTCATCTTTAAAGTACATATTACAAACTGATATAAGGAAAACAAACATCTGTGTAAAAGACACTAATTTACTAGTGATTTCCTATTACAAAACACATAAAATAGATGCCTGGGAAAACCATAAGCCAATCATGCAACGTTTCATATTTTCATTTTTATATTCAAAACTAGGCAGAGCCGGAGAGAGAAAAGGGCAACAGCAGAGCCTTAGTGACAAAAGTTTGTGGGTGGGTGGTGCAGTTTGCAAGTTTCTAAATACCTTTCTCTAACACAAGCCCAGGAACAGTCTGTAATTATACATCAGCTCTCTTGGACATACCTTTCTCACGTCTGAACTCTTTGGTTCTGTTGTCCAGGTTATGATTCTAGAAACAGCAAGCCTTGTCTCACTAGAGTTTACAAAATCTGTTGGATCCATCTGTCTGGCCAGAGACTCAATATATTTCAGGATTGCAACTTTGACCTGAAAGAGCCAATAATTATAAACATTAAGTACACCTGATGAATCTTTGAAAAGAATTCTCATCAGGTACCAGAGAAAAGTAAACCCTGTTGAGGGGAAACTCTTTCCGTTCTCCTGGATTTGTTTCCACATGGAGCAACATCCAACAGGGGGAAAAGCATGAAATGACTGATGGGTAAGTTAAGGGACAGGAAGGGGCACATGGCTCAGTCTTCTTCATTGTTAGGTGCCTGTAAAAAAGCATGCTCTGCTCCTCATCTATGCTGCAAGACACTTTTCCAGGGCAGGAGCCCATGGGATTTCCAACTCTGCCACTGATGACAGGGCAAGTTCAACTCCAGTTCTGCCACACATTCTAAGCCATGTTCTGTAAGGCAGCACTTTCGGTAATCCAGCTCATGTTCTGCCCTAACTTCACCATCAACTTCTCAACTAGTTCTGACCTCAGGAGAAAAAGGTAATTATTTATTAGGCTCATCCTAAAACCTCCAAAAAGTTAATGATCAAAGAACAGACGATGAATGTGACCTAATTCAAATTAACACACATCCTCCCTCAAATCTGGTCTTGTTACTATAGGTAGGATTTTCCACAACATGTAACAATTAACTTTCACATCTTAGCATGTTAGTATTAAACATTCCAATAAGATACCTATCTCTACATACTAGAATGTCTTAATTTTCTAGTTTAAATATTACTTGTGAAAAAGACTAGTACTGCCCAAATGTTGGTAAGGCTGTAGGAAAACTAGAGCTCTCATACACTGCTGGCGGGAATACAATATGGTACAACCATTTTAGAAACTTCTTATAAAGCTAAACATATACCTACCCAATTAACCAGCAAATACACTGCTAGGTACTCAACCAAGAGACACAGGAACATATCCATAAAGAATCAACCAGGAATGTCACAGCAGATTTATTCACAATAGCTAAACATGAGTCACATATAAACAAAAGTAAATTTAAGCAAATTTGAGTTCCAGGGTTGAATTGTAATGACAAGTAATTACTGACCTTGAGGTTTGGAGTTTGAGTTTGATCCACAATAAATCTCATCAAAATGTTAAATTGTTGATCAAATGGAAAGGAGTCCCTAGGTTGGGGCGGGGGGAAAAGTGCTCATTTTTAAAGAAATTTATTACAGAACAATGTTAAACTATTTAACAAAAGCATACCATTATAGATTAATATATGTAAAACCCTGTTCACATTTTTAATAAATAGTGCTTTTCATTTTATGTAAAGTAATACATGTTATACAGAAAATCTGGAAAAAGGAAAATCTTGTTTCAAGTCCCCAAACATAAACTGAACTTACGCTGAGTGGCTATTTAAAACATTAAGCAATAAACTAAGGAAGAAATTTCTACCTGTGTTTCTAGGGATTTGCTCATTTTCCCTCCAGCTACCTTTCTGGATATTGATTAAACATAAAAATCACTTCTGATACACAAATCTCATTTTTATATCCTGACCGGGCTGCTTACGGCTGACCCTGCTTAAACTAACCGTATTGTCATCCTTGGTCCTGGTCACTGCTTAGGGTCCCTGTATACCACAGAAGAATGCCTTTGAGACGGCGACAAAACATGTCCCGTCCAGCAGCTACAAATCACACACAGAAGCCTGGGGTCCCAGGAGCCCCTTCTCTCAATCCATTTCTTGCCTGTTACTGATCTTATTTCTTGTGGTCATCATGATCTCTGATCCAATCAAGCAACCCTCAGGGGCTCTCAGCCAGAGAGTCAGTGCTCTTTCTGTTAAAATGCTGTAATTACTAGTATTAAGTTTAAAATTGTACTATGGAGCCCCTTGTGGATAATGGTGATATAATTTCCATATTAACAGAAAAGATAAATGCAAGGCAAATATCTACATTGCTTTCTTTGGACTCTCTAGTCCAAATCTACATAAATAAAGTAAAATAAGTAAACAGGTTTGACTCTCTAAAATGAAACAAATAGAATTAATTTGAAAAGTAAATAAAATCATACAACAAGAATAAAAGGCGCATGGCCACATATAAGGGACCAATGTCATCATCCCTATAATTACCAATAAAAAGTAAACTTGATCCAATAGTACCCCTTCCTCCCACCATCTAGTTGTATCCTGGAATCTTTGAAGATCACTTCCAGAAGGAAAATACACTGTAGTATAGATGATTTAAGTGACTATGTCAACAAACCACACACAAAACGTCTCTCCCTTCTTCTGGCAGCATGGGTTGGATGGAGAATACATTTCAATAATGGGTATGTATAATCAGGAAATATGCCATCGTTAGGTACAGCCAAAGGAAAGGAAACTGAGGCAGATTAGCACTCGAGTCTATAAACTGAGAAGCAATATTCTCAGCCATCACTAAAACCTCCTATTAATAGTCACTGACTGATTCTAGATCAGCTTAAAGAGCTGTGGATCTCAACTGCTGAGAAAAAGAAGGGAATGTTAAAAACGCTTTAGGCACTCATCAGATCAAATCTACTGAGACTACGACTCTTAAAGAAAAACTAACAGGAGGTCATGACTGTATTCCTTAATCATCGAAGTTTAGGAATATAATCTTAATACTCCTGCTATTCTCAAAAATATAAATGGATCTGGTCATTGGTACATTCACCTAAATTAAGTGATCCACAGGCCAAGCCTGGCTTACATGTGTTTCATTTGGCCTTCACAGTATCTTAAAAAATTCTCAAATATGTTGCCCAAATCGACATTTCTGATCTTTCTTGAAAAGTCTGGTACTACTGAGCCCATGTCCCAACATGGCCACAACTGGCCCCAGCCTATCAATAACCCTCCTATCCACTCCACTTAATGATACCAGCTTATCACCTAGCCCCTCAGTCAATCTGGGCTCCACCTTTATAATTCATTGGTATAATAGTGTACTGTAATGCTCCCTAACTCCACAATAAAATTTTTAACCATGCAAAGGAATGACAAAGTTTCCAAGCTTTATTGCAAATGTATGTTACTTTAATTTTATTTATTTTATTATTACTCCTTTTTTTATGCCCTCACCAACAGATTCAAGTACTTTGAGTTCACTGAAAACCAGAAGGGAAATCTCTCTGGATAATAGAATTCTATAGCAATGCAATTGCACAGATTGACAGGGTCAAGAGCCATAAGAAAACAGCTGGCATCATAGTGTAAAGGAACAGGTGCATACTTTGAAGTGAGAGTCAAGTAACAGCTGCATGCATAGGGATGGCCAGCAGGGCAGGATGTGCTATTGTGCTAGTCAAGGGAGCCAGAAAGAGAAGGTTCTAGGTTCTAGTGCTATCTGTACCACCCCCTGTCTCCACAGGAGGTGAGGACACACACCCACAAGACAGCCTGGAACAACAGGAACAGAAAACAGAGCAATCATCAGAAATCCGGATTTTAGTTCCTAAACTGCCACTAACACAAAGTTAAGGCCAAAGTGTCTGCTTCTCACTGATAAAATGAACATCGCCTTTAAGGTCCTTCCATCTTGAAATTCTATAATAACTAGAATTATTTCAGTTTGTAGCAACTTATAAAAGTAAGTGCCCTGATAATTTTACGAGTGACTTGGAAGTTATTCCTTTGTTCTTTAAAAAACTACACCAATTTGACATTGCCCCCTCCATCTTCCACCAAATCACAACCAAGACATCATTGCAAAGTGTCTTCTGAGATCTTTTAATTCTCATACTTGCATGCTGAGGACCCACAACTGCATAGACAGTAGAGAAGAGTTTTCTGAACAGCAGCAGCATGTAGTTTTTTCTAACTTTCCTGGGCGTTGGCAGCTTTTCTTTTCTCATAACAGCTAGAAGGGTCACAACTACTTCAAATGTGCAAATCTCTGAGCCAATGTACTATCAATTTAGACTTTTCCTGGACCAATGGAAACTCTACATGATACACTGATTAAAAAAAATAATCTCTAGTATGACTTCTAAGTTGAAGTAATAAAAATATTAAGGTCTTCAGAAAAATATCAACAAATATTCTAAATGTTCTTTTTAAATGTTTTTTAACGAGAAGAAAAGTTCTAAAGTTTTACATTTGTTTATAACATGTCTTAAATACTCACAAAAGTAATATAACACAAGGATGATATGGTATTTCATCTCATGGATTGGTGGGGTATCAACAGATATGTCAACAAATGAACATGAGAACTGAGAACAGATATTCAAGTGGGTGACAAAGGCCATGGCAAAAAGTTACCTACAAGTACTGCAATATCAAAATGGACCTAACCCTTAAACACCTACCTGGTGACATCTAGAGCCTTTTGGACTTTTGCTTGCACAGATCCAAGTAAATCTGCTCCCATTTTCTTAAGTAATTGTGTGAGAAGAACAAAAAGCCAGTCTTGCAAGTCATCCTTATGAATTATTATAAAATCCACAAGAGTCTCCAAAAACATACTGAAAACCTAGACACAAATGAAAACCAAGTAATTCACATATTGAATTCACAATTTCCTCCAAACCCTGCAAAACATTCAAAATGCCCATGCGTGCTTTGCCCAGCCTCTTGTAACTTAGGTTAACCCTGTTACCGGCTGTTCATAGCACAGAAGGAAAATGTAGTGCAGAAAACAGATAAAGGAAAAAGGAATGGAACTTACTCTCTGTTGTGAATTCCACCGCAAACCAGGCCATGCAACAAAACAAATTCCATGTTAGTTGGCAGTGAATTAATACAATTTTCATGCGCTTTTTTTTTTTTACAGAAAACCTGAAAAGGCTACAAATGGATGAAATATTCTCTCCTCCCTCAATATAAACCTTTAAAAGGCAGCACAGAGAGAAATTAACTTTTCTGATTTTAATCCTGAAGGTTTTCTTTAACAACAAATCCTCTTGTCCTAATGCTATTCTTATTCACTAACAGTCAACAAACACTATTATAAAATGAGCTAATAAAAACATCTACTCACTATTGTGTAGCTACTGCTTTTCACATCAGACATTTTGATGTATGCCTATTTCAGATATTATAAAGTAATAGATGATTACAGCTCAGAATAAAATATATTAACAAAATTCTCAAGCTGTTGTGTAATGATTTTTGCTTAGGTGAAATAGAGTCCATACTGGAATATCTCTGAACCAATTTGAGAGAGAAAAGTAGCACTGAGTTTCCCTACCTTGTTAATGAAACTTGTTCTACTTTGGACAACCCAGGAATCCTATACCGCCTCATTTCTACCACAGCAACTATTCACCACCAGGGGTCGCCTGTGAAACAGCTCAGGAAAAAAGTCATTCAGCCCTAGCTATGGGATTCCTGGCTTAGCTTACAGGCAGCTAAAAAATATTAACTAAACTGAGACCTCCAAACTCACTGTACAAGAGACTTCTGATGGAAACAAATTTCCTTCTTTATCCTCACATTCTGCTTCTGAATCGGCAATCTAGGGGTGACAAGTAACAGAAATTTATCAATGTTCTAAACTATCTAATAGCTCTTAAGTTATAAATCTTAAGACTCTAATTATGCTTATGCATTAAATCTTACTGCTTTTAACACTATCGTAGAGAAAAATATTGATAAATTTTATCTTTGGATATCTATGTGGCCTGTAGACTCAGTCTTTCTTGGATTTTTATTGAGATTCACTCTGCTGTCCAGGCTGGAGTGCACTGGCACATTCTCAGCTCCCTGTAACCTCCACCTCCCAGGTTCAAATGATTCTCCTGCCTTAGCCTCCTGAGTAGTTGGGATTACAGGCACATGCCACCATGCCCAGCTATTTTTTTGTATTTTTAGTAGAGACAGGGTTTCACCATGTTGGCCAGGCTGGTCTTGAACTCTTGACCTCAAGTGATCTGCCCGCCTTGGCCTCCCAAAGTGCTGGGATTACAGGCATGAGCACCTGGGGAATTTTTATTAATATTGTTAATGTTGACTTTGCTGTGAGGGTCAGAGCAGAAAATTTAAGACATGCTTCAAGATTGATAGTGAGGAGAGCTGTTGGAGGAGGAGGGGAGGAGAACCCTTGCATTCACTCCCCTTTACTCTCATGAGCACCTCAAAAGGCTAGAGCCGTATCTTGCTTTCTGTATCCCTGCCGCAGAGCAGGTACTCAGTAAATGTTAAATGACTGGGTGAATGAATGGGTGGATCAATGTTTCATATTTCAAGGACAATAACTGGCTGGGCTTTCTGGCCATCACAGGTTTCTTTCTTTCAGCACAACTTGGAGGTGATCATCTTTACTAGGAAAATTGTAGTCAATCCTGCATGTCAGCATTAAAGATCGGCTTCTGCTTATTTAAGGTTCTATCCATTTCTGTCTGGATTGTGTCCATACAGTTTACTTTTGTCCTTTACCCCTTTCCCTATATTTTCACCTTGCTCTCCACATTTTTCCTTTAAAAGTATCTGATAGTCTCTAAGGGTCTTCTCCCAAATAATGGTATTTATTTAAAACCTAGACTCCAAGTAAATTCTTGTAAAAAGCCCCTCTCTCACCCCTGGAAAGTGTTGTCCCATACTCATGGGTGTTTCCCCCTCAGCTGGGACTCTCTCGTCAAAAAAAAGCATTCCTCAGGCTTAGTGTTCCCTTTGGCCCTCAGGAGGTGTGGGCACTAGCTAAGTGATCACCATTCAGCAAGTTCTTGGGAACAGCAAAATCCTATTTTAAGAAATAACCTGGTTTTCCAATAAATCCATTAAATTAAATACTTTCATTTTTCTGTCTTGTCCTATGAGGATATATTGATACAAAAATAATTATATACTTATTTTGCTTCATTACTCTAACATCAAAACATGCATGACATTATAATATAATCTTATATATTATAGCACCTACCTCACTGTTTGGCTAACAGGAGACATAGAAAAATATAAGAAAGACCATCTGATTCTCTCCCTGATAACTCTTACTTGAAGCACACTTATTTAATTTTAATTTTACGCACATTTAAGTTTCTAAGAATTCTATTTTTAAAACGTGTAACATAAACTAGTGCTGAAATTGGTGTTACTCTGTAAGGCGGGAACTGCACTACAGGGAATTCTCTCTCATTCTTGGGTAGTATATCACACAGAGCACGCAGACATGCAGGGAGATAGATAAGGCAGGCATGACTTCCAGACTTACCTTGCTATGAGGATCGGCAAACATCCGGGTGAAAATCTCACACAATCTTTTCAGTTCAACTCGACTAGAAGAAATAACACAGAAATCAATGAATTTATTACTTTTATTATTTTTGAGACAGGGTCTCACTCTATCACCCCGGCTAGAGGGCAGTGGTGTAATCATAGCTCACTACAGCCTTGATTTCCCAAGCTCAAGTGATCCTCCCACCTGAGCCTCCCGAGTAGCTGGGACTACCGGTCCACACCACCGCGCCTGGCTAATTTTTTTGATTAGTCAACTAACTGTGTAAGCTTTACACAATTTATATCTACATAACAATGTCTTTTCACAAACTCTTATTTAATTTATGGCTAAATCAAACAGGAAGATAAAACAAGAGATTTGTTCTCATTTTAAGATGACGAAACTGAGACTGAGTGGGTACAAGCTCACATATCTGGAAGTGACAAGGCTATGTACCAAATCCTTTTCATTTTATTTCAGCTGTGTTTTCCACATGCCACAACTGAAAAGCAATGAAATAAACTCGAAAAAGCATGCCTATCCTGCATTGTGATGAGAGGTAAAAACAAAAAAAGGAAAAAAACAGAACAGCATATGTTTTGGGGTCAGACAGACCTGGATTTTAATCTCAGTTCTGCTGTAAATAAGGTACTTTGGGCCGGGCGCTGTGGCTCATACCTGTAATCCCAGTACTTTGGGAGGCCAAGGCAGGTGGATCACCTGAGGTCAGGAGTCTGAGACCAGCCAGGCCAATGTGATGAAACCCTGTCTCTACTGAAAATACAAAAATCAGCAGGGCATGGTGGCAGGTGCCTGTAATCCCAGTTACTCAGGAGGCTAAGGCAGGAGAATCTCTTGAACCTGGGAGGCGGAGGTTGCAGTGAGCCGAGATCGTGCCATTGCACTTCGGCCTTGGAGACATGCGAATCTCCATCTCGAAAATACATAAATAAGAAAGTACTCTGCTATCTTTAAGCCTGTGTTTTTCCTCATTGGTAAAACAGGATAAGGACTATGTCACATGGTTGCTGAGAGAATTAAAAAATATAACACATTGTACCTTCTACTGTTCCTAGGACAAAGCAAACACTCATTTCACATTGGTGCCCTTTGCCTTTTCTGGTCCTTGACTATCACTGAGTCCCATGTTTAAAGTTTGAGAGAAAGGTCTTCTTTTCCACAAATCATCCCTGAGTAATCCCCGTTTATGCGGATAAACAGTTGGTTCAAGGACTCGCCAATATTGTTAATGATGTGACCTAGATTAGACTGATGCCGACCGACAGATTTCTAGAGATTATTCAATGGGTACTCGGTGAACACTAAGAATCTACAAAGTGGGACCACCAGGATTAAACACATTCTTGAGGAACAATAGCCATAAATCATCTTTTGTTTCTGACAAGTCACTAGAGTGTCATAGGATGCCTGCATTTCAGAAGGCACATGACAACACTTCCTGTATCATCTTCACGAACAGATGAATAATGTGGGGCAGACTTGAGTACAGGAGGGTGGAGTCAGACTGACTGAAGAGCCACAATGAGGGCTCCGCAACTCATCAGCCTGTGCCCACTTCGCTTTCCAGAATCCAAGAGGAATTCCCATCTATGACAGCTGATTTATCTTATAAAAATTATCCCAAGGATAAAGTAGATTGCATTTCATGTATACTAAGTTGCCTATTCCTTTTTTTTCTAATTTTTGTTGTTGTTGGTGTGTGTGTGTGTCTGTGTGTGTGCAGTAGAGACACAGGGTTTCACCATGCCGGCCAGGCTGGTCTCGAACTCCTGACCTTGTGATCCACCCACCTCGACCTCCCAAAGTGCTGGGATTACAGGAGTGAGCCACCACGCCTGGCTAGTTGCTCATTTCTTACTTCCCTTTCACATCTCCTTTTTCTTGTTTTAACTTTCTCTCTAATTGAGAGTCATCTTATAATCAATGACGTATTTGTACTGTCATGGCTTAATATACAGCATTTATTAAAGGGTTATAAAAATAAGGGTGTCTACAGTGCCTTAGATTTGACAAAATATGGTATAACCATATACTTTTTTGGTATGTGTAATACATGCTTATTTTAGAAAATTTATAAAACAAAAACAAAGAAAAAAGCAAAAACAATCCATCTAAGAGACAATGCTGTTAATATTTTGAAGGACTCCATTTTGTTATCTCCTTACTACATACATTTATAAGCTAAATATATGCACATGTATATCAAAATTTTCCAGACCGAGACTGAAACATTTTATCCAGGACCCTGAAGCATAATGAACCATACTAACCTGCAGTTTTTGTTTTTTGTTCTACCTGAATTGCATACTGTACACCAAAATTTCTCAAATAATATCTACTGGACAAATATGAAACATCAGAGAACGAAATATGCAGTCTGTTTTTTTTTTTTTTTGAGACAGGGTTTTGCTCTGCCACCCAGGCTGGAGCACAGTGGTATAATCATAATTCATTGCCAATTTCCAACTCCAGGGCTCATGTAATCCTCCTGCCTCAGCCTCCAAAGTAGCTGGGATTACAGATGCATGTCACCACATCCGGCTAATTTTTTACATCTTTTTATAGAGATGGAGTCTCCCTTTGTTGCCCATGTTAGTCTCGAACTCCTGGGCTCAAGTGCTCCTCCTGCCCTGGCCTCTCAAAGTGCTATGATTACAGGTATGAGCCACTGTATCCACCCTAAATGTTTTATCAACCTAATAAATTGTAGAATATATGCCACAAGGGCTGAGCGCGGTGGCTCACGCCTATAATCCCAGCATTTTGGGAGGCCGAAGTGGGCAGATCACAAGGTCTGGAGTTTGAGACTAGCCTGTCTAATAATATGCTGAAACCCCATTACTAAAAAATACAAAAATTAGCCAGGTGTGGTGGTGCATGCCAGTAGTCCCAGCTATTTGGGAGGCTAAGGCAGAAGAATCGCTTGAACCTGGGAGGTGGAGGCTGCAGTGAGCCGCGATCGCATCACTGTACTCCAGCCTGGGCAACAGAGTGAGATTCCATCTCGAGAAAAAGATATATTTGCCAGATATTTCAAAGCCTCTGGATGGCAAGGACTGTATCTTAGTCATCTTGCCGGTTCCTGCAAGTGGACCTAAGACTCTGTTAATTATAGGGAATCCCTTTAAGCCCCTGAAGAGTCCAACAAGGGATTCAAACGTAGCTCATATTCTTGCTGTGGTCCTCACCTCAGTGTTCTTTGGCTCTTCAGTAGGTTCTGCAGGCCCAGAAGCCCTTCTTTCCTTTCTGACCAGTTTGAACTAGCACAGTGGTTGAGAACTTCTGCTACATCCTCAGTCTGCCGCAGATAATGGGGAATGCCACCATTCCTGGAGCCATATGAGCGCTCAGAGCAAACACTTGAGGCATCACTGTTGGCGTCATCGTCAGAATACATCCCATACGGCTCATACCTCCTCCTCACAGGCTTCTTCTGATAGGTCCAATGAGGGGTGGGAGTGATTGAGGACGAAATAGAAAGGTGAAATGACCATGAGTCGTACCAAACAAAATCTACAACAAAGTTAAGTGTAAAATGACACACACACAGACACGCTTTTCCTGTGCTTATAGATTAGGGAAATAAAAACAGAAAAGCAGTTTTCCATTAGGTAAAATAACTAATAAGCAAAGCACTCTGTAGTAGGGAGGAAAGAGTGTGGCCTCTAGTAAAGTGTGTGGACTTTACAGGAAGACAGACAGATCACAATCCTGGTGCCAACACTGACTGGGCTGTGTGACTTCTGAAAGCCTCCTAAGCATTTTGCTGCAGTTTCCCCATCTTTAAGACAACAATAGTTATACCTATCATACAGGCTTGTTGTGAGGTTTAAATAAAATTGTATGTTAAATATTCCAGCTGGGCACCTGGAACACTGCAAATATGTGCAGCCAACAGCCCCTCCCCAGTCAAAAGCAATATATCCTGAGCATAGTCTATGGGCAAACTTTTCTGAATATTTATGTTTCCTATAAAAGCCAGAATTTGAAATGTAAGTGGCAGAAGTAGTCCACATAAAAGAATTCCTAAGTCATCTCCCTCTGTTGTGCAGGCTGGTTTCAAACTCCTGGCCACTTGCATTAAAGATTTAGGGTTTTGAAACATGAATAGGCTTCTTTTAAAGTAGACTATAATACCCACTTTATTCATTTCACTGACCCTGAATACAGAACTGGTATACCCATAAATATGACATAACAGTAACTATATAGAATTTTAAAAAGCAAAACAAATAGCTATTGGCTTAAACCATACAAATACACTTCTCTAATAATATGGCGTATTATTAATCCAACATTCTCAGGACTGCTCTGCCATAAGTGTACCGTCCTAACATAATTATTAATAGCATCCCCCTTTTACTGTCAAAAGCATTTTTGCTTGCATAACAGATTACATGGTCACACATAAATCAGACTCCTAAAATAAGAAAAATGCTGATAAATCCATTTATGAAATCATGACGACGTAAGAATAGGCATAAACTGTGTTAATAAAATGAAACACTACTAGAAGCAGCAGAGCTTAACATTTAAAATAAATACCAAAACAGATGTACATGAAAGGTGACTGACTCCACCATGAGGCAACAATGATGGTGAATCACTGTTATGCTTCAACAAAACCATATAAACCAGAATTTCTATACTACACCGTATTTTTTTTGTTTTCACTAGCTTCTAAAAGAAATATACTTGCAACAGAAGCAATAAAGTTATAAAACAAAAGTTAAAGCACTGGTACCTTGCTCCTGGAGTCTCCTAACAGCTGTAGGCAGGAAAATATTGAAGGATGGGGAAAAAGCATAGAGAATTATGTCAGAAGCATATGTAGGGATTGTTCTTGCAAAAAAAGTATACAGCAAAATATATTTTAGCAAACCAAAAATACAGGTTAGCAAGCGTTTCATATCAAGCGAATAATAATAAAAAATGCTGTCAAAATGGCATTTTCTAACCCTCCTTCATGTCTCAGAAGACCTTCTGGTAACTTGCTGTAATTCTTTGCTAAAACTTTTCCCATACCAGTGAGGCAAATCTCTAAGGTCACCATTAATTCTACTATCTATTTCTCTGAGACATTCTGTCTGGCCCTGTGGCGTCTATTCAGTCAGTGAGGCAAGGATTCTGTACCATTTCTGTGTTTTCTCTTCAGAAGCAGGTCACTTGGAGAGACTAAATAGTTTGGACAAAAAGTAACAAGGGCAGCATGAATCTAATGGGAGTTAGAGCTCAGAGGAAAGCTCAAGTCAAGTTAAGCCAAAGCTCAAACTCTCAAGTCCTATTCTGCCTCCTAGAACTTTACACACACTCCCTTATGCAGTTCTTTAAAGAACTAAGAAATTCCCTTGACTTAAGTGGAAGTGTCAACTAAGGGTTTCACATCCATCATTTCCCACTCCTTTGACCTCTACTTCCCAGGGTCTCTGAACAAATAAGAGACAGATTCTAAATTCTGCAACTTTAGAAAGACAAACAGCTTCAGCAAATTCTGTTCCAGCTCTTGACTCTTAAAGCCATGGTTAGAGCAGTTACCCTGAACTCTAGCACCTATCAGAAAAAAGTCCTTCTTTTTTTTTTTTTTTGAGACGGAGTTTCACTCTTGTTACCCAGGCTGGAGTGCAATGGCGCGATCTCGGCTCACCACAACCTCCGCCTCCTGGATTCAGGCAATTCTCCTGCCTCAGCCTCCCGAGTAGCTGGGATTACAGGCACGCACCACCATGCCCAGCTAATTTTTTGTATTTTTAGTAGAGACGGGGTTTCACCATTTTGACCAGGATGGTCTCGATCTCTTGACCTCGTGATCCAACGGCCTCGGCCTCCCAAAGTGCTGGGATTACAGGCTTGAGCCACTGCGCCTGGCAGAAAAAAAGTCCTTCTATACATAAGGTTGAGGAATACAGCTGGCCAGGCAGTTTACCTACAGGAAAAGCATTATGAGAGCAGCAAACTTGCTTACTCACAGACACTCGTCAAAGAACCTGACTGAGGAAGAATAAATGAAGGCAAGAGAAAAAGGAATGAAAACTGGAATTGCCATAGCCATAAACTATAGAATGGTGATCTGATAAAACATGGCTGGATTAAAAACTTCAGAGTCTAAAAGCAGAATATTACATACTTTTTTGCCTTACAAGAGAATAAATCTTAAAACAGCAAAAACAAGGCCAGTGATCAGAGTTCTAAAGAACACCCATTTCAAATGCTGATCACATAAACCGGAATATGCAAGAGACTGTGTGACTAGCTAAAATGCATCTTTAATAAGCAATTGGACCACAAGCTGATTCTACCAAGGAACTTTGTGGTATAACCAAAACATTAAAGGATCCATGATGATTTATGTTTTTCAGATATTACACTATAATGATGCAAAAACATATTCTACCAGTGCTTCCCATCCTCAAAGAGTTAGGAAAAACAACATAAAATCATACGGACAAGGTAATGGAATAAATGCAAGATTTTCAAACCTCAAACTCTATTATCTACTATTATGAAAAATGTCTAGGTTATGCCATCAAACTCTGTAAAGCAACAGAAGCAACAGAATAGAAAAAAAGAAGTGCCAGAAAAAAAAACAAACAAACGTGGTTAAAAAGAAAAAAAAGAAGCCCAGTGACAGCTGAGAAGCCCAATGTCATCAAAAGCTCCTTGATACTGAAGAGCACGGATAAGAAATACTTGACCCTAATATTTTCTGTAAAGTCCATTTTCACTTATATGAGCAGAGGTAAAAGTTTAAGCAGCAAACAATAACAATACACATTTATCCAACAGTTACACAATTTTAAAGAGTATCAAAGATGATTTAGTAACCTGATTTGGGGGCAATTTCCTGTTAAGACAGAGAGAAATGCAGATGAGTATTTCAAAGAGGCTCTGTTTACATACATACTGTGCCTCTTACCAAAGCATCAGCAACAGCAGCTTCAAGGTCTGTACTTGTGCTCAAAACTCTCATGGCATTCACAGAACCAGGTATTCTTCCTGGCTGGCCAAGCCCAAACCGATCTATTTAAAAAACAAAAGCAAAAGATGTGTCACTTTAATTCAGATAATCTCATTCCTTGCAAGAACTCCTGCCTCTTCCCACCAAGTAGACAGAAGCACTGAAAAGTCTCTAGCCAATTTTAACTACACTTGACTTCTTTACCAGTGGTAGAGGTTAAGCTGCTTACATTTAATGCTATGTGCCACAAAGCACTGGCACTCGAAATTGTTCAAAAATAATATTTTATTATTGAAAAGTTTCTGAGACATGAGAGAGAAGGGGTAATTTATTATAAAAGGAAGCTGGGCTATAAGTTGAGTCTTTTAATCTATTTAGCTTTCCCTTTAGAGGCAAAAGTGGCCCTGATGTTTGATGAAACTAATTAGAAAGCTTAATGGTTTCATAAGAGTTCTAATGCAATGTGTGGTAAAAAATTAAAATTGGAAACAGATGAGTTAAATTGATTTCTGTGCAAAGTTTTGTTAATGTCACTATGTTTTACTACTACTAAACTCAGTTTTAGATGCTTGTTCTTCATGATTCCTTGGTCAACAAAAATTACTTAAAAATCAATTTATTAAAATAATCACCAAAAAAATCTAGCACTTTCACTGCAGAACATTAAAGATTTAGGTAATATGGGTATAAGTTTTACCTGGGTTCCTCAAATAATTTAGAATGGTAATTTTTATACAAATAAAATAGAAAGAATCCAAAGAATTTAAAACAAATTTTAGTAGTTCAAGTATCTATTTTAAACTTGTTAGTGATCATGGAAATGCAAACTCACTTTTCAAAGTCCCATTAAATCAGCTAACCAACCTTCCTTAGAACATGCTGGAGATTAAAACTATACTAGAAGAAAGGCAGTGCAAGTCATATCTTCATTAAGTGTGCTATACATCATCTACCAGTAAAAAAATTATTTAAAATTCTAATGTATAAAAACCTTTGGAAGAAAAATGTTAAGATAAAATATTTTCTCTGTGTTAACAAATAAGACATCGTTTGGACAAGGAAAATCTCTACGTTAGCCATATTCTAGAAGCATCTAGAATAATAGGGAAGCTATTATCTATTTTACATGAATCAATCTTTCCTATATAACAATGTATTTAAAATTTTAGATATGTAACAAGACAGTGCCTACAAAACTGATGAACTTTAAAAGTGAATTGTTATTTAGCTTTTTAAAAATGTCAATTTCAAACATTACACCTTCCACTACCACAGAGAGAAAAATGTAAATACTGTTCATCAATACAGTTACATAGTCATGAATTTTTATAAAAAAAAAATTGTATGTTATACTATCCCCTTTTTTAATAAATTTGCTGGTCATTCCAACTGTCATTTTAGCCATTATGTTTAAAAGGTAATGTGCCATGTAAACTAAAAAGGACCATTAAAAATTACATTTATCTATATTTATCACTTGAAATACAAAACAAGTGTAAATGTGAGATTTACTGTGCACATATTTTTATAGATGATCTTTGTTCATTTTTTTTCATTAAAAAAGGGTAGATAGTAGATTTATGAGTAACAGAATGAAAGTAATTCAGTTATAAGCCATTTATAAATTACCCAGCATAAACTTAAATAAAATGAAGTCTAATAAAATTAAAAAAAAAAAAAATTTCATGCCAGCAATTCTTGCTCCGGGGAGAATACAGATTTTTCAGACACAAAATTAAAACTCTAAGAACAATGCAATTATTCTGTGCTTCCAAGATGCATACAGCTTTGCCACACACAGTGACTACAGATCATTTGATACATATCATAGACAATTTGAATTTCAAATCTTAAGGGGAAATGTTTATCTGGATCTAAGCAAAATTGTAAGCTTTATGTTTTCACCAGAGTAAAATCTGTTCCATATTCTCCAGGCTCTGATACAATTATGAAGTTCAATTTTCTAAGAGATGAATACATATGACTATGCTCTCAGTCTGGCCCCTAATCTTCAGGGAAGTGTATATAATTAGAATATATAGCAGGCTGGGCATGGTGGCTTTGCCTGTAATCCCAGCACTTTGGGAGGCCAAGGTGGGTAAATTGCTTGAGCCCAGGAGTTTGAGAACAGCCTGGGCAACATGATGAAACCCCATTTCTACAAAAAAACCCAAAAACTAGCTGGGTGTGGTGAACACCTATAGTCCCAGCTATTTGGGGGGCTGAGGTGGGAGGATCGCTTGAGCCCAGGTGGCAGAGGTTGCAGTGACCTGAGATCATGCTACTACACTCTGGGCAACAGAGTGAGACCCTGTTTCAAAATAAAAAAAAAAAAAACATGGCTGGCTTCATTTAGAGGAAGAAAAGAGAAAATACCTGATTTGGTGAATCGGTAACAATTGTCACCATGAATGGTCTGCAAATTCATAGATTATGTCTTAATCAATTGAGAAAACTATAGTCATTAGGGACTGTTAGCATACAAAAATAATGCCATTAAATCTAACAAATTGATGTATTACTGTTTGCTTACATTTTACCACTGTGGGGTTAACCAGTGGACGTTGAGTATTGCTAAACAGAGCTGAGAGAGAAGGTTTGGAGTCTGCAGGCTGCAAAGGATACCTTTGGCCTGACTTGATTACCCGAATGCTGATCTTGTTTTTCCATAAAACTTTCAGAATAATACACTTATTTTCATACATATATAAATGTTGCTATAATCTGCAACACTGGTAACTAAGTGCTACCTCAAAAAATGTGAACCTGACATTCATAACTAGTATTAATATGTGACAGTTTATTTGTAGTAAAGACTTTTGAGAGAATCTACTAGATGATATCCATGCCCCCCTGCCCCACAGGAACCCTAAAGAATACCTGATTTTGGTTATTTTCCAGGGGTCAGGGTGGCAGGAAGGGAAGTACTTCCCTGCTTTTTGTTTTGTTTTAACATAAATATGAATACTGGAGAAACGATGTTGTCAAACAGGCTATAAAGCATCTACAGCCTATTAACACAACTATAAACATTCAATAACTTAAAAAAATTAAAGCACATTAGGGAAAAAAATATGAGGTGCATACATGCTAAGTGCTAGCCGACACAGATGAAAACAAATGTTAACATGGGTGTGAAACTAGAACATATGAAGAAGCCAAGTCATGCAGTTAGCACTTGTTCACCTGACTGCCCAACAGATTCAGCAGTGGAGAGAGCACTAGTGGACCTGGAATGACGTCGAGAGGCTGCAGGTAAAAGGAATGGCAACACCCACAGGATTAACACAGAAGTACTAGAGACAGAAAATGCCACAGTCCAAAGGAAATGCAGGGACCACTACCAACAAGGCCATGTTTTCTCATGAGAAGAAATGGTGCTGGATATGAATGGACAGCAAGTGCCGATCCCCAAACTCCACGGTGGCCAGCTGGCTTTCACACAGCTATTAAACACACAGGCACAACAAAGGCACTCTTAAAGGTGCTCCAAACTAAGTATGCATCAACCAACTCGGACTCCAAGGTTATAGTCACGCCATGAAGCCTCCGTCAGCCAGTATGGAAATATGCAACATGAAGAACAGCAGGAGTCACCGAGCACTGTCTTTATCCCAGAGTGGGATGGCAGTAAGACGGATTGTTAACTCAGCTCACAAGATGTTTTAACAGTATGTGATGCATATGCAACCATGCACCAAAAACAAGCATAAAAGTTCATAATGTTACTTCGACAGAAATAAAATGAAATTACAGGAAGGGAGTTCAAGAATTGGAATTCTATTTTCCCCAGTCAAAATGTTTGTTGATCTGTTGCATAAATATCCTAATTATTATTATTATTTTGAGACAGTCTCACTCTGTTGCCCAGGCTGAAGTGCAATGGTGCCATCATGGCTCACTGCAGCCTTGATCTCCCAGTCTCAAGCAGATCTGCTATCCTCAGCCTCCCAAGCAGCAGGGACTACAGAGATGTGCTACTACACCCAGCATTTTTTTTTTTTTTTGGTAAAAATGAGGTCTCCCTATGTTGCCCGGGCTGGTCTTGAACTCCTGGGCTCAAGTGATGTGCCCGCCTCAGCCTCCCAAAGTGCTGGGATTACAGGCGTGAGCCACCATGCCTGGCCATATCCTAATTATTAGTACTTGTGTAATTGCTGGAAATTTAGTTGTATTAAGTTTAATGATTTTCCTTGGAGAGGCAGTTACAGTACACTGGTTATGAGCACCAGCTAAGTAATGCAACTGTAAACCCTGGTTGGATCACAACTAGTCATAGGACTGACATTGGGCAAAGTACTAAATCTATCTGTGTCTCAACATCTTATCTATAAAATGGTGCTAATAATGGTTAATGGTACCTATCTCTTGGGAGTTACTGAGAGGATTAAAAGAGATTATAAAGCACTTAAACAATGGTTAGTGGTGGTGGTGCTGGTGGTGGCAGTAACGGTAAGAGCAACCTACAATTTACAATCTGACATTAGAGTACCATTTTATTAACAAGCATTCTTAATGAGCAGATTAATTCATCGACCTGAGGAAATAAATGCTAAATTCTGTTCTCATGTGGAAAGAAAACAACTTTTAGAAATAATTAAGAAATAAAGACTGGATTCAAAACATTAACTTATTGACCACAGTTCCATGTAACATACGGCTTTTCCACAACAGGAAAAACAAAAGATAATATGCTTCCAGTCATTACTCTGAAAAATTCACAGTATTATACCACAGAAAATTCATAGGTTTAACAAACTGATGCTGAGCAGTGCTACATTTCATCCATACTACTGGAGTATCCTGTACATGTTAACATTCTCACATTCAGTCATAAAATATCAATACCTCAAATTCTTCAATATAATTTTTTAAGGTCCATGTTACTTTATAAAATATACATCTCTATGGTACATGTGGTATTAAATAGCAAAGATTACCAGGTTAATAAGGACACATTTTTACCAGCTTGTAAAAAAAGGAAAATATCTTTTTCTTGAGATTCACAAAAATTAAAAATAAATTGGCAACGAATATTATAAAATTATTACTTTCCCTAAATAAGGAAATTGGTGAAATATCTAGTGTTAAGACTGAAGAAAACTATACATTTTTGTACAAGCACATCACTGTCTTGATAGTTTAGTCTGAAATAGTTTTTAAGCAGTACCTGATATATAGGTTCCTTATAAAATGGTCCTTTGGTTCATTTTCAACAGAATATTATAAAAGAAATCTGCCATGCAATGAGTCCTCTGTCACATTCTCAAGTTATCACCCAACACTGGAATCCCAGGTAGACCCACTTATGTGAAAGCTTAATTTATAGCAGTCCTAGAGCCCTTGATTTCCCTTAATCAACAATGATCACCATAACCATATAGATTCATACCATCAAAAATGGTCCAAAACAACAAAAATGCAAACTCGAAAATATATATTCACTGGAATATAAGTACTTCCATTCTTTTTTTGTTGTTGTTAAAGAAAGTCGGCTATATAAATGGATTCAAAGAAGCCCTAACATACAATCTCACTAATTTCCAAAAGGGGTGGGAAGAGATTAAAATTGATGAGCTAAAGAAGGAACCTTCAGAGGATGTGTAGTAAGCTCCCCTGAGGACAACAATCTTCTGGGTTCTTTTAAGTTCCCAAGTCCTAACCCCAAGCCTGGAAATAAATGACTCAGAAACCTCTTCCAACCACCCCCTAGAAGCCTCAGTACAAGCACTTAATACATTTTCAAGGAACAAATGAAAGACACTGAATTATCAGAACTAATTCCAAATGAGGCAGGTTTGAAGTCAAACCCGAATCCAAACCCTGGCTCCACCATTTAGCTGTGTGATCTTGAGAAAGTAGCTCATTCTCCCTAAGACTCTGATGATAATACCTGTCCCAGAGGATGAACAGGGACCACAGGCATTATGCCTGCTGACTGCTCCACATGGTGTGGGTACACATGAGCAATGTTGTTGTTCTTGCTGGACCTAAGTTTTAGGGTCAGGTTTAACCCAAGGTAAGGGAAAGGCATGATACAAAAATTTAGCTCAAAGAGCTTAACTATTGCCCTGACCACAACAGAAGACATGAGCTGATGCTAGAGTTTGTGAGGACCCACACCTTCTGCCTTGGTAATGGCAATTACACATTTCAACATTCTGAGTTGTCACCAAGACAGCTAAGCAGATCCATTTAACCAAACAATGGACAAAACAGACAAGATTCACTCAACCACGCAGAGTTCAATTAGGATCTCAAGAATTCAGCACACCTTGCCTGGTCCACATGCCAGATTCCAAAGGATGTTTCCACATACAGTATCAAAAATAACAGTACATATTTGAAAGGAAAACACTGAATTGCTTCTAAGAGACAAAATAAGCAATAAAAAATTGAACTGTTTACTCATATAATAGGTTGTTCAGAAGGTCAAATAGTGAGCAAGGATGCAAAGATATAAAGCCTTAATTTAAAAGGAAAAATCACCAGTTCATTCAGAAAAAAAAAAAAATCATCATTTCCACCTCTGATTATTGAGAATTCTGCTGTAATGCTTCAGACTGCTGTGGAATATGTGACAGGCAACAGGTATGCTGCCCCACTCAAAGGCTCATGCTAACAAGGTGGAACACTCACAACAGGTATTGCCTCACTAAGTCACGGGGATGGCCTAGTACTACCTGGTTTAGCATCTGGTTGCCTGTTCTTTTTTCAGAACCTCATAAAGAACAATGGGTCATAAATAAATATATCTAGATTTTGATTACCGATACTGATTAGGGAAAAAAGATCAGAAGAAGTGAATGACCTTAGAAGGAAATAGGTAGAGGCAAATATTGAGACCTTATGCTTTTGATTTAACATCCCTCTTTTGTAGTGACATGTATTGTTTTCAAAAGACCAGTTATATAATTAGGTAGTTAAAATTAGCAGACTGCTGGAGTCCACAGATCCACATAATTTCAGGTCTAGGTCTAATTACAATAAAATGGTTTCTATGTGTATGCTTATCAAGAGAAAAATGGACAGCTGTACAGTACTTAATGCAGGAGTGAAAAATAATTATTGAATATAAAATATTCCTTTGCACAAAATGTGTTGACAGATGTCTTTTGGGCATTAACAGTTTATACTAACTAAAAAGGGTTTATTATATGTCCATTTCAGAGAAGGCGCAGGACTATTAACACTAAAAAGAAAACTCATTTACTTTTCTAAACATTATCGCAATTGCACTTTGATTCCTTCTTTGAATTAAATTACATGTAGACTGATCTGTAGTAAAATTAAAGATAAATTGTAAGAATTCAATGACCAAGGATAAACTTTGGATTAACTTTCCTTTTAAGCAGCAACTAACTTCCACTGAGTTTTGCCTTAGGTTAGAAATTGCCACACAGATGGGCTTGCCTGGGAGCAAGTGGTCATCAATGACAATAGCACAGAGTGAAGTGGTGTTTTTTTCCTCTAATATATAAAAATTCGAAGTTGCCAAAATTCAAGCATGCAGAGGGGGACAACAGAGGGTAACTAAGGAAAAGGGAAGAAAGAAGGAAGGATCACAAGGACAGTGGAGGAGGAAAAGCAGTTCATTCCACCTAGCAGTGTCTCGGACAAGCATGTGGAGCAGGGAAAGGAACTCTGCTCCTCAGCCAGCACCTACATGTACTCACCAAGTGGAGGAAAGCCCCGAGCAGGGCTTGTATCTCGGCTGCTCTCACGGCTGGTATCGCGGCTGCACCCCTGACTCATGCTGGGTCGAGGGATACGGCTGCTCCGTGCTAGTGTGCAGCATGAAGGGTTTCAGAGAAGGTGAACAAGTTTAATGAAGACAGAAAAACTCACAAAATGTCAGTCACATTTGGTTAATGTAATTATGACATTGTTCACGCTGGGGAGTTCTGATGACTGAGCCACCTATCCACGCTGAGGTCTCACTGACTGACATGCCAACAGGGGAGGGTTTAGGTAAAACGTGATTATGCTCAATGCCTCAGAAAGCTGTGAATTTTAGTATGAAAGTGAAATTACCTAAATGTAAGAAGTGAAAAGAAATCTTTCTAAAGAACAAACTGGCATCAGAAAATACAAGATCAAAAGCCTTTTAGGAATGATCAATTTTCATGAGTTTAGCAAACTTCTCAACAAAACGACAAAAAACCAAAGCTGTATTCATAGACACTTGTTCTTTAGAAAGGTAATTTAATTTGGATTAACGAACAGAATAACTACACTGGTCACTGAAGTCCATGAACTTACCTAACGAAAAGGAAGAGGGCTCACTGCTCCCAGGTTGGCCTTTTTCACCAAGAGAAGCCATAAGGGTTGACATAACCAGAGAGCCTACCCACTCCAAGTAATCGTGTAGATGCTTCAAACATATCCAATTCTCCAAACCAGCAGATATAAAAAGTGGGGACAGTTATCCTTTCCTTTATTGATCCCAACATTTTATCCCTGCTTTTTCAATGAGAATCCAAGATGATTTGCCTCTGGTCTCTACCAAGCACCTCCACTGATCCAGTCTTACACACTGGGGCTACAGCAAGTAGATCAATACTCTCAGTATTTGGGTGAAACATCTCTCTACTGACCTGGGAACAGCAAATAACTTTCTGATTACCTGGATAAAGTTAATCATTCTCATGTTAGAAAACACCAAGACTATAAGACAGAATTGCATGAATATCCCAGGGTCTCATAATAACTTGGCTGTGAAGCTCAGAAAAGACCAGGATACATTGTTTCTCCATTTAATTTGAGAAAATGGAAATACATTACTGGCAAAACACTCCAAAACAATCTTGTATATTAAAAATATGTAGGTGGAATGCCTAATATAACAGCTGATGGGGACAACATACGTTTCCATCTTGTGAGGATCTACAACTTCTGGGCTGGAAAAAAAATGTCAAGATTTTGGAAACAATCAACTTGATTTCACTGATATAAAAACAAGTATGTTTCTATACTGCAACAAGCATAGTCTATTATTTCACAGCAAAGAGTATATAGCCAAACTATAAGAATATCTTATAAACCAGAATCATAACACTCCCTGATGAAAAAAGTATACAAAAGGGAAAACCAAAGCCAACTTTCCACTGGGCTCAGCTGCTCAGTGCTGGAGTGGAGCTAGACTCTGAAGGCATTTAAGTGATATGCAAATGCTTAGAACTGCTCAGGCCAAAAAAAAATCAGGCACAGGAATGTAATCTCAACAATCTGGACCCAAAGGGTTTTACTGGGGCTTCACCGGAAAGTCTTAAACTCTCCTTAATTTTGCCAGTGACATGAAAGCACTGAATTTTCATTCAAAGTAGTGATGACTATTGAATAAGCAATTCTTTTTGACCTTCTAAACAGCTCCTACAATGATGACAAAAGGAGGAGATGCCAAATTAAATCCTTAAAAAACCAGGGAGTATGTACTGGCCCTACCAATATGAAAAAGCTTCCTAGAATGTACACAGCAATACCACGCATCCTACTCATCTTTAGAGAACCAAGGCCAAATCTGAGTCAAAAAATAACCTTTCCAGTTCCATGCTCTCACTGGTCCAGCCACTAGTCCTCTCTGGGTCTCAAGCCTCCCATTAGGAAAATGAGGAAAAAGAACATGTCCCCTCACTTTAAATGAGAAGGGTATACTATGAGATAATGCACATCCATAACTACTTCCAAGTCCCTAGCTGAAGAGTACACATGAAAATTTTGTCTTATTCTACTGCCCACTCCAAAACAAACAATAAAAAAGCAATAAAAAGTCTTGATAGTTGTTTAAACAAGTGCATGCTTAGTTGAGCATTTTCTTAATAGTTCTTGCCTTATTACTTCTGAAATTTTCCCAGCCTACCCCCTTCCTTAAGTTCATATACATGCTAGAACAATGGGAAAGAAATGCTCTCTTTTTGGTCTGAGTCTGCTTTGTGAAGACAATAAAAAGCATTAACAGCAGTAAACAGACACAATCTGAAATAACAGCACACATAAATTTCTTAACAAGGTTTACCCCCCTGGTATTTCACTCAGGGAGAGTTCATTCACCCATTTGAGCTGATTTTCTCCTTTAACATACGGTTAGTAGCAGTATAAAGAAAAATAATTCTTTGTTTATGATTTTGTGAAAATATGACCATACTTACCCTAAACCTCAAGAGCCTTGGCATCATTTACTCATTAAAATAAATCTAGTGGTGACATTAACAGTTCAAATGTTAAATAACTTAAAACACAAGAGAAATACAAACTCACTTATAATACTACGTCGAAAGACTAATCTAAAAGAAGGATTTAAAATAAGTATATTTTTATATTTATTTATTTATTTACTGAGAGGGAGTCTTGCTCTGCCCCCAGGCTGGAGTGCAGTGGCATGATCTCGGCTCACTGCAACCTCCGCCTCCAGGGTTCAAGCAATTCTCCTGTCTCAGCCTCCCCAGTAGCTGGGATTACAGGCACATGCAGCCACGCCTGGCTAACTTTTGTAGTTTAGTAGAGATGAGGTTTCACTGTGTTGCCCAGGCTGGTCTCAAACTTCTGAGCTCAGGCAATCCACCTGCCTTAGCCTCCCAAAGTGCTGGCATTGCAGGCAAGAGCCACTGCACCTGGCCTATTTTTTATTTTTGAGAGGAAGTCTCCTTCTGCTGACCAGGCTGGAATTTGTTGGTGCAATCTCAGCTCACTGCAACCTCCGCCTTCTGGGTTCAAGTGATTCTCCTGCCTCAGCCTCCCAAGTAACTGGGATTACAGGCATGTACCACCACACCCAGCTAATTTTTGTATTTTCAGTAGAGATGGGGTTTCACCATGTTGATCAGGCTGGTCTCAAACTCCTGACCTTAAGGGATCCACCTGCCGTAGCCTCCCAAAGTGCTGGCATTTCAGGCATGAGCCACCACGCCTGGCCTAAAATCAGTATATAAATGATTTTTATAAATGAATTAATTAGGTGAACAAATCTAAAAAAAAACCTACCAAATAACTTGTCTCTTTAAGTGCCAAACTAAATGTTCTATGTGAAAATATGTTACAGAGGAGAAGGAATAAGAGACACAGACAAGGAAAACATACTTGTACTATGAACTTCCTAAAAAAGCAGTATTGCTAGGTAGCTCTGGGGTCTTCTGCTTACATGAAATGCTGGGAAGCCATAAAAAAATCCATTTGATTGGTTTTCATTTTTTGATAGACACTCTACCCTACTTCCTTGTTTTAATGGTAATCTTTACTTTTACCTTTTAAGGAAGGGTCCAGTCAGGACTCATAAAAGCAGAACAGAAGAGAATTAATAAAAACAACTGGAACTTAAAGACATAAGATGTCTCTCTGGTCTAGACATTTTCATGTCTTGGTCTTAGACAGTAGTCTAATTTCACAGTTGAAATGAACTATTATTAATGTTTAATTATCTCAAAGTATTTTAACCGGAAAACCTTAAGAACATTTTAAATACACATCCACAGAATAAGTTACAAAAATGTCAAATGTGTTTTCACAGCCCTTCCAAAGATGAGTGGCAGAAGGAAACAAGGGAAAATTCCAAAATAGAATCACTATAGATACTGGTGATTTATATGACTTTATTGTATCTATAAAGTATTATCTTTAAGACACACAAAAATAAAATCATTTACGAACATATTTTCCTACTCAGATAGCTTATGGGGGAACAAATCACCAAGAAAAAGGAGAGTAGCAAGGATATATTTTGCTTCTTGAGTATTCAAACAGGAATTACAGGCTGTTTTGTGTAAGAAAACTTAAATGCCAAAAAAGAACCCTGGCATCAGTTTTAAAACAAATGAAAAAAGAAATTAATTCTCAGTGCAAATTCCAAACCTAGTTTAGCCATCATTAAAACTGTTGAATTAGTTGGTTTGGGAATTATAGAAAATATTACTAAAATATATTCCCTTTTTTTTTTTTTTAACAATTATATTGAAAACTGCTATACAGTGAGTCAAATGCTAAGAAACACAGACATATACCCAGTGTATACTAAATGATAACAGTAATACACAATCTATTACTGAATAATGCTATTATGTCTGCCACCCTATTAAATGGAACGTCTAAGGAGTACTATAGAAAAAAATGAAAATGTATTTTATTCATATATATTGCTTTTTTTTTCTAATTGTCCTTTAGGTTCCAGGGTACATGTGCCAATCATGCAGGACTGTTGCATAGGTACATACATGGCAAAGTGGTTTGCTGCCTCCATCCCCCCATCATCTATATCTGGCATTTCTTTTCCTTTTTTTTTTTGAGATGGAGTCTTGCCCTGTTGCCCAGTCTGGAGTGCAATGGCATGATCTTGGCTCACTTGCAACCTCCACCTCCAGAGTTCAAGTGATTCTCCTGCCTCAGATTCCCAAGTAGCTGGGATTACAGGCGCACGCCATCATGCCTGGCTATATTAATATTTATTTCTTTTTGTGAATATATTCTCACAATGCGTAGAAATTTAAATAAAGTATCTTCTTTAATCTGAACCATATGTATGACTTCAGAGCTCTAAACATAACTGATCCCTAAAATTAGCATCAGGGAAATAACTTTCTTCAAATAATTTTCAAATAAGGTAATCACCTTTTCTTCAGTTCCTACCGATGTTCCATAATACCTGTTTTAAAAATGTATGAAATGTTGTCTTTTCAACCACATACAACACAAACTTCTTAGTTAAAACCATGGAGCACATTAGAATTATGTCAGATAAATGAAGTTGGGTTATTTCCCAATTTCAGGAAGAAGATTAAAATGGCATCTTTAATAATATAAAAAGAAAATCCCAAAACAGAAAAGAATCTTTAAAATGTATAAAACTAACATGGATTGAAAACAGACATCCTATAAAATGAAACAATTAACTATGAAAAAAGACAGCTGAAACCTAACATCTACATTTGAAATCAAATGCATTTTCCAAACACAAATCAGCCATAATATTCAGATTCCAGCTGTAATCTTTTCTATGGTTATATCCACATCAACACCCAAATGACTTGTCAGCTCAGAGACCACCCTACGCGATGCCAATAAAGATTTGGCATCATAGAGAATTAATAAAACCACCAAATACTTTCTGCCTGCTTTGGAAATAGGAGTTCAAATAAAATCTTACCCATTCTTAAATATCCGCTCCTGCCTTCTGGTAGCCAAGGTGGCCTTCAGAGAGTCTCATGAACTGGACTCTTATCAGTCTCTCTGCCCTCCACTCCCACTCAAGTGACTCTGACTTCCTGTACAGTAGCTAAATGAATTACTTGTGGCTGCCTTTTGCCTGACTGTTTCTGCAGATCCATCTCTCTCCTCTAGAACACCTTTCCCCTCTTCTCCCACCAGGACCAATTCCACCTCGTACCTCATGAAAACAGAACCTATTCTGGGCAGCCTCCCCTAGCAGGAAATCTGGGGTGGCCAAGGGTCTAAGACACTCCTTTCTTTATGGTGCCAAAGCACCCTGTTATAGTATTTGTCACACTGTCTTACATTTCCACCTCTCCTCAATAGATGTCAAGCTCTTTGAGTCAGAATCTAAATCTATCTCATGTATCTTCTAATTCTCAGGTCTAACAAAGTGCCTCATACATCACTGTAAACACTGTGGATGAGATAAATGAATAAATGAGAAAGATAAGCCAAAACAATTTAAGAATATAGTAATCTGATTTTATATTAATACATTCTACCCTTAGAAAGCAGATAAGTCATAAAGAATATGAATTTAGATTTTTTGCATTATATCACAAAGATCTCTAAATTTTATATTAAAAAGGTAGTATATGAATTAGATGTTAATGGATTAAAAGATAATTAAGCTGCTGAGGGTAAGTCACATGATCCTATACACTATTACAAAAAAAAACTAAATAACGCAAAAATAAATATATATTGATTTTAATCAATTCCTAGCTTTCATGCTTAAATCTATGTCAAAAGTAACTATACATGTTTAACCATAAGTTTCACCAGTTGGATTAGAGAAGATCAGAATTAAAGCAAATGTAGACCCTAAATGTTGTTTTTGAAAATTCATATAGATTAATGTCTATTTAGTGCTAATCAGTAAAAGGAAAATGAAAAGCAACACTGCTTCTAAATGTGAGGGAAACACCCTCTATTTCCCCAATTCCAATGCTTTATACAATGACTGCAAAACACAAAAGCCTACAATGACATAATTCCTTCCCATAAATTTGAATGGTTAAGTCCCACACATTTTTCTAACTGAAACCTCAATATGCCATAATCTGTATACCCAGGCAAAGTGACATCCTCAGTTCAAAAAACAGATCTCTATTTCCTACATTAGACACAGTCATTAGGTTATAATAAAAACTATGACCAAGCTGGGAATGGTATTCCAAGACCTTTGAGAATCCTTACCTAATCCTATTCGGTTTGGACTTGTTTCCCGGCTACATCCCTGGCTCCTGGGAATCTTGCTTCGCTTTTCTGAAGATGGTGTCACAGGTGGGCCTCGTGAGGAGCCCCCAGCAAGTCCACCATAACTACTTCCCAACAATTTTCCTGGAGAACTTGACCGGCTGCCAGCTAAAAGTGAAGCAAAATAACAATGAATAACATGTAAATGTAGGAATGAATTGTAAAACTTTCAAAAGCCAGTTTTTACACATACATTTGGATAAAATACATAATTTTATATAAAAATAAATCTTCATTTGGTGGTGGTAGCAATTTTTTTTAAATGTAGGAACATAAAGACTACTGAATATCATAAAAGAATATACTTAGAATTATTGGTAGAATTCTACAAAAATAACTACAAGATTTCTGATTCAAAACGGCAGGCTAAGTACCAACAATAGCCTCCTTGTTCCACAGTAAATATCTACAAATACCACAAGGTGTTTATTCTTTTGCTTTTTTTTTTTTATTCTATAAGAGCTGATTATGTTAAAAATTTTAAATATCATTGCTAGAAGAGTAGTATTAGAACTATAACAATTTTCTTCAGCATTAGTTACAGAAAATGGATCCAAGAAAAATCTATTAATCTGACAAATGATAGAAAAGGGGGTACGAGGATAAAATAACTAGAAATCTGGTAAATAAAAATCACAAAATAAGATAGTAGGACGTTCAAGTATATTAATCATAATAAATGTGGCTGGATTAAATTCATCGATTTAAAAGAAATTAAAACAAGCCTGGACTGCTGGCTCATGTCTGTAGTCCCAGCACTTTGGGAGGCCAAGGTGGGAGGATCACTTGAGCCCAGGAGTTTGAGACCAGTGTAGGCAACAAGAGGGAGACTCCATTTCTCCAAACATTTAAAAAATCTGCCAGGCATGCTGGCACATGCCTGTAGTCCCAGCTACTAGGGAGACTGACGTGGGAGTATCACTTGAGCCCAGGAGGTCAAGGTTGAAGTAAGCCATGATCACACCACTGCACTCCAGACTGGGCAATACAGAGTAAGACCCTATCTCTAAAAGAAAGAAAAAGAAAAAGAAACATAAAGTAAAAGAAAATGAAATTCAGCTGTCTGGTATTTGTAAGAGTCAAACAATACACCACAAACAAAAACAAATCGAATAAAACACAGCATTTAAAAAGGACAAAGAAGGATATTTAATATTTATGAAAGAATAATTGTCCATGAAGATATAATAATCACAAACCTTTATGCTCCAAACAACATAGTTTTGAAATATAAAACTTCCTGCACTAAAGCCTTAAAAAATACATATATATAAAACTAAAAAATGATAAAAGTATAAGGAAAAATGAAAAAAGCCATACTTACCAAAAGACCTCATGGAAAGACTAATAATTATTGAAAAACTATATACCTCATAGAAACTGACAGAGCAGTGAAAATTGTGCCCGTGTGTGTATACGTATGTATAAAAATACACACTTCCCACATGCACATATATATCCCAACTAATAGAATATACATTCTTTTTACCTTTCCATACATAAATATTAAAAAAAAAAATTGTGTATTAAGCCTCAAAGCAAATCTCAAAAAAAAAAATCTACAAAAGTAGAAATAACATGGACCACATTCTTTGAGAAGTATGCAATAAAACCGGAAATTAAAAACTAATAATATGACTGATAATTTTTATTAGTAGTTAAGTAGCTAGATACATATATTACTATTGCTTGTGGGACACAATTCTCACTCAGAGAAAACAACACAATTTTAAGCATCATACCAATACATTCAAATGGCAGTCATTTGCACTGATAATCTCCCTAAGTAGAGAAGGCAATAAAATTCTAAAATGTAAAGTATACATTATTATGTACTAGACTAGTACTAGACTAGAATGACCCAGGGGAAGAATGTATTTGAAGCAACAGTTAGCTATAAATGTATATGTGTGTTTATTTTAAATATATATTATTTAAAAATACATATTATATAAATCAAAACAACCATCATTCAAATGAACCACTTAGGTAAATACAAAAATTAATGGTTTATAATGATTTAACTACAAATTGAAGTGAAAAACCATTATAAAAACCAATAATATACACTACCATGAATAATTTGTCTCAGGACCAATTAATTTTACCCATAAAATTTGAGCTACTAATAAACTATTAAACTATGTATAAAGGGAAAAGAAATCCATTTCAAACTCTAGAATTTGAACACAAAGAAAAATGCAGGAAGATTAACTAAGCTTACAATAAAGACAGAAATTAATATTGTGCAAGGAGCATGGGGTGAGGGAGAATGCCAAAAAAAAAAAAAAAGGCAAGAAGAGAAATGGCTTACCACCAGCAGGATTAGCAGATCTGGATCCTTGATTATGAGAGCAGACCAAAGGACAGGCAAAAAGTGGATTAAAAGACAATAACACAATACAGAAGGTCAGCATGCAACACAACACAAATACATTAGCAAAATAGCTACATTTCCTGGGATTTCTTCCTATTTTTGTACTTATGTTTATTTTATCTTTGTCATTCTATATTAGCATTTATTTCAGGTCTGTTCATAAAACACTTTCAAACCTACAATGTGCCAGACTCACATCTGTTCTCTTGCTTTAAGCAATCTGAGGGAAGTGATTGTAACTTACTCATCTGTGTATCACTACCATCTTCCAAACTGCTTACCACATAGTAAATGCTCAAAAGCATCAATTAACTGAAAGAAACTGTTGTTAGCTACTTCCATCTGACTGTCCTGACTTCCTATAAACCTCAAATATTTAAAATATGCCAATTATTAAGGACCTTAAATCTAATATTAATGAAGCTCACTTAGTACTAAATCAGAACTATGAATACTAGTATATCTACATTTGTGATACATATGCTTATATTTACCACTTATTAAAATAATTTTTAAGATATTTAACTTATATGCATAAGCTTAACAAGTAGGCTTCATAACTGCCTAGTGTGGTCACTCTTCCTGAGTATGATTTGGTAAGTAAGTAAAACTGGGGATTTTTAAAAGTGGAGCCCCAAGGCTAGGTACAGTATAAGACTGAAAAACCAAAGCTCTATTATCACCCTAACCACTATTAGAGAAGGAACTGTAATCTTCACCACCTGCCAAGCAGAGGTAACGTATGCCATTTCTAAAACCTGCAATATAGAGAGAAAACTACAGCATTGACCCAGCTAGGGCAGGGAACCCTAAAGAGCCCAATACTGATAAACAGCACTAAAAAGAAACATGTAAAATACTGTTCAACCCTAAACCTCCATGGAGGGAAATAATACTGCATAATTAAACGCTTAGATCTTTTTTATTTGGCTTAATTTCATTATATTGACTTATATTCTGAGATTTGAACACTTTTTGTCAAGAATTCCTTTGCAGTAAAATTTAACCCATGTGTATCCTTTTGTGTCTCCAGGCATCACTAGGGTTCAACAGAATAACCAGAGCCAGGAAGCTGTTCCTAAGATAGACACTTCTGGGCTATTATCTGCACCCTGGATCTGAATGAAAATCCAGGTTAAGTTGTACAGTAAGGAGGGCATTCTTGGTCTTAATGGACTCTCAATGTATCCTCAACTTCATCCCTCATCATGTAAATCCATTCCTAGCCTTCTTTTCTAAACCAGTGAAGTAGACAGGTATCAAGGAGGCTCAACCTCAGCTATGACGGGAGTCTGCTGACCTTAAGTTATGACTATAAAGCTTGCTTCCATTTACTGTGTATCACATGCTAGGCTCCTAATTCTCATCAAATCCTCATGAAAGCCCCATGAGGGTAGGAACTGTTATCACTCAATTCACAGACAATGAAACAACAGCTCACAAAGGTTAAATGACTCACCCAACATCACACTGTAGCCACCATGCAAACCCAGTTTTGTCTGATATTGAAGCCCACGCTTGTAGTGTATCGTACTACACAATACAACCTAGGCCACAGGGAGGTTCTGCAGCCTCACCAAAGGCAGCAATATAACTGACCTTCTGCTTTCCTTGCAGAAATGACATAATATGAGGACTACAGTTATCAAAGGGAAAAACATTTAAATTCAGAAGTTGTTGAGCAAGGCAATCTCTATACTAAGAGAACTCCTAAGTTTGGTGCAGATGGAGCACTCTCCACCAAAGACAGACAGTTCCTTGGGCCACAAAGGAGGCAGACAAATGTCAGCTAGTGAGTGCTGCTCTGTGGGATCACATGCAGCTCCTGGGGACAGAAGCACTCTGCTACCCAGGAGCACTCTGCTACCCAGCTCTGCTCAACATGCATAGAGAAGAAGCAGGGCCCCTCAAAGTTTATGTGTGGCTGGAAAGTGAGACACGAAGGGTGGATCTGAAGAGTGACCAGAATAAATTCATTCCAGCTGTGGCTGTTTTCATGGCTGAGGCTAACAAACCAACTGACTTCACATATACAGAGACGCGATCATGGAAGCAGGGCAGCTAGGCAAAGCAAGGGCCCACACAGCAGGAAGAGAGGTGCAGGCTGCACATGTTAGAGCACAGAGTTAAAGGGGGAGAGCTTTTAATGGATTTACTTATTTACCACTGGAAAGAACATAGCATTAATAGTTTTCTGCCCAGGTACTATTCTAAAATTACATCAGAAAGATTCCTTATCAATGCAAAAATGAGTCATAGAACAGGTAAGTTACAATTTGACAGGCTTCAAAGGAGGGAGAAAAACTACATTTTAATGTTTAATGCTTAACAGTATAAAATGTAAATCACCTGGAAAGGAGACAAATGTATGCCTGGAATGTTCCAATTTTTAAGCTTAACCAGCACACAGTAAGATTATTCACAGTATCTTAGAGCCACAAAAAATGTGTTTTTCCCTCTGAAGTCAATACAAAGATTATAAAATGTTCAACTGCAGAATGGGCTGTTGAATAAATCTGAGGTAAGCAACAGCATAAATTATGTTTCTTACGCTGGGACTGTGAAACCACTTTAGCGCGACTGCGGCCCCGGTTATCAGAAGGTGTAGAGGCGACATTGGTGGCACTCCCAGAGCTTTGCCGTCTTGTGCGGATCCGACCTGGAGAACACAGCAAAAACAGTGTTTTCACAACATTTCCAGTAAGTGCCACCTACTCAAGAAAAATCCCCACGCCCTGAAAGAGGGGCACTGACCAGCCAACGACATGGGGAGCAAGAGCTTCTGTGAGCAGATCCTCCACACGAGGTCTGCCATGTCTCCCTGTGTGTGCAAGCATACATGTGCATATGGGCAGCACACAACTGTTCTATGAACACAGGAGGAACTCCTGAGATGGTGCCATGGACTTGCAGCTGTTTAGGTTTCAACTATTTTAGTATGTTTTCTCTTCAGGCAAGGAAGTGATATCCTTTTGAGGATATTTCCCATAATTTTTTCCAGATTAAATTTTCTTTTTTGTCTATGAAGCTGACAAATTTCCAAAAACAGAAAATATTAGCTGTCACTGTAAAAAACAAAAAATTATAGAAAATAAGAGTAATGCAAAAAAAAAAAACCCAAACAAAAAAGTCTACCTCTAAACTCAGCTATCAAGAAAGACAAAGCTAAAGTGATACAGCTAAAAAGAATCAATATTAGGAGTACCTACAGAAATGATGGCCTAAAGATAATTTGATGCTGTAGGCAGTTACAAAAAAATTATGCCAATTATTGAACCATGAAGCCATAAAAATAAAAATGAATTCGAAAATACAAAATCACTGGTGATCAGACTAGTATGAATAGTGATTAAACTTTTTTTTTTTAATGGATCTTTTTGGTTTCAAGAGAGCACAAAATACCCCTCCAGCCACAATTCAATGAGGATAGCACTTTGATAGAAAAAATACAAACCAATTTGAACTCCCACTGGCTTGTTACATTATTCAGAATCACTTCTACCCCCATAAGCGACAAAGCTTACAGAGAAGTAATGCAGAAAACAAATCCTAAAGCTTGAAAAACGTTCAAGAAAGGAAGGTAAAGAGCAATGAAAGAATGCTGGTATTAAAAAAAAAATACTAAAATTAGTTAAGAATCAATGACTTCTAATAACAGTTTAAGAAAAAAATTGTTTACAAATTCTAAGAATCTATACAGAAGTGAAAAGCTACACCATTTACTAACAACTACGTATGAGTCAACTCAGAATCCTCACAGCATATAAAGTAAGTACTCCCATTTTACAGGTGAGGTAACCAAGAAACAGGGAAATGAATTAATTTGTCCAATGTGACACTACTGGTCTAGATACCTGTGCCTGGCTGGCTGACAAGCCTATGAGTGATGACCTTTGATTTTCCTAAGGAAGTCACCAAGCTAAATTAAGGCAGTCACAAAGACAAAGTGAACATGAAAAAACAACTGAATTTTAATCCATTATGAAATATTTAGGTCACAAAAAGATTTTTTAAATGAACATTTATATTCACTCAGCTTAAAAAATAAAAACTCTCTTTGCTAACCCTCTTGTATCCTCTACTTTTCCCCAACATTGGGTTACATGATCCTAAACCCAGTGTTCAGCATTCCCTTGTGTTGTTTTTTTTTTGTTCGTAAATACATGTTTTCACAACCAATATGCGGTTTTGTTTTACATATTTAAAAAGTTTTAAATTATAACATAGGATATATACCCTAAAGCTTACTGTTTAACTAACATTTTATTTGTAAAGTTACTCATGTATGGATAAAGAACAGATACACATTATTTTCTCCATATGACTAACCAATGTTCAAATAAATTTACTTAACACTTTCCTTACTGATTAAAATGCCATCTTCACTCATTGTTTATCGAGAAGCACTTATGTGTGTCCAGATTTCTCATCCTTCTAGTCTGTTCCACTAGTCAATGTGTCCATACCTATGCAACATCATAATACTCTGATCAGCTTTTTATTAATTTATTTATTTATGAGGCAGAGTCTCTTTTTGTCATCCAGGCTGGAGTGCAGTAGTGTGTGATTTCAGCTCACTGCAACCTCTGCCTCCCAGGTTCAAGCAATTCTACTGCCTCAGCCTCCTAAGTAGCTGGGATTACAGGCGTGGGCCACCATACCTGGCTAATTTTTGTATTTTTAGTAGAGATGAGATTTGGCAATGTTGGCCAGGCTGGTCCCAACTCCTGACTTCAAGTGATCTGCCCACCCTGGCCTCCTGAAGTGCTGGAATTACAGGGGGAAACCACTGCACCCGGCCTGTGATTAGCTTTTTTTTAAAAAGACATCTTGCTAAGTGGCAGGAGAAGTAAATTCACCTTTTCCTAAGCCCTTTGCATTCTTCCATATGCATGTACAGACACAATAACAACACCTGTTGAAATGTTGACTGGCATTATGTGAAATTCTGGGTTAAGGGGAAAAGCCTTATAATATTGGTCTTCTCATTCATTATAATCTTCTATGTTTATTTAACTTTTTAAATGTCTTTGGATAAAGTTTGATCATTTTTTCCAAAGGTCTTACTCAATTTTTATAGACTTATTCAGAGTTGCTTTACTTTTATTATATATATTTTATTAAATTTTATTTTCTGTTCTTGACAGATAAGAATGGAATCGTGATACTTTGATCTTAACACACAAGGAATCTGCTAAACTTTTTTTAATTCTACCAATTTGTACACAGATTTGGGGTTATCTAAATAGAAAAAGATTCACAAATAACTCATTAACTTATTCCCCTCAATTCACTTTTACTTCTTTGCCTTTATGTACTGTCTTGGTCATGTAATATAATGCTAAATAGAAGCAGTGAGGGTGAGTACTGTTGACTCAAACAAGATTTTTAAAAAGAATTTCTGAAACTTCATAGAACGTATAATGTGCCAACAGGTTAAGAGAATTCAGCCAGGCACAGTGGCTCTTGCCTGTAATCCCAGCACTTTGGGAAGTCAAGGTGAGCTGATCACCTGAGGTGCGGAGGTGAAGACCAGCCTGGACAACATGGCAAAACCCCATCTCTACTAAAAATAAAAAAATTAGCAGGGCATGGTGGCACACACCTGTAATCTCAGCTACTCATAAGGCTGAGACAGGACAATCTCTTGAACCTGGGAGGTAGAGGTTGCAGTGAGCTGGGATCACAGCACTGTACTCCAGCCTGGGGAAAAGAGTGAAACTCCGTCCCCGCCCCCCGCAAAAAAAAAGGAAAGAAAATTCATTTCTGTGCCCAGTTGTTAAGAAGCTTTATCATAAAGTTTTGATATTTTGTCTACATCTTTTGAGATAAGACAGTTTTCCTTCTGAATGTGAACTGTATCAATAAATTTTAAAATATTAAGCCGGGTGCAGTGGTTTATGCCTATAATCCCAGCACTTTGGGAGGCTAAGGTGGGCAGATCCCTTGAGGACAGGAGTTCCAGACCAGCCTGGCTAACATGGTGAAACCCCACCTCTACAAAAAATTCAAAAAATTAGTCAGGCGTAGTGGCATAGGCCTGTAATCCCAGCTACTTATAAGGCCGAGGCACAAGAATTGCTTGAACCTGGGAGGCAAATGTTGCAGTGAGCCGAGATTATGACATTGCATTCTAGCCTAGGTGACAGAGCAAAGCTCTGTTTCAAAAAGAAAAATTAAACCTGGGCTAAACCTACATGGTCTTGACATACACACCCACACACACAGTGTTTGTATTGTACTCTGGTCATACTAGCTGCATAAAACCAGTAAGGAAAGTATTATCTCTTTTTTCCTATTCTGAGTTTATGTAAAATTGGAATGATCTAATGTTTTCATTATTTTTTTGCATCTCTACTGATAAACTAACAATGCAATTATCCAGTATTTGATACAACTTGTGTGTGGCACCATCTGAGCATGGCAGGAATTTGGGGGTATCTCTTCCATTTTAATTAGGTTTATTTTGGCAGGGTGGGAATAGGGCATTAAACTTTTAGCTATATTCAAATGAGCAGTCTTAAAACTACTCACATTGCTTGCTTCTTTGAAGAAACAGTTTTGGGTTTTCTTGAAACTTGTACAATCAGTTTTTGAACTGTTAAAAAAGCTTTCATAGATTTATCCTATTGCCTTAATTTTTAAAAAGTATTATTATTTTTGAGTTTTGCAGAGAGTAATTTATTTAGGCAGAGAGAAAGAAAAAGGTGAAAAAAATAGAAAAGAGAAACAGCAGCTTTCACGAGGCCGTGGAAGGGGGAAGTTATTATTATTTTCTGAGACAGAGTCTAGCTCTGCAGCCTAGGCTGGAGTGGAATGGTGCAATCATAGCTCACCAGTGCCTCACCTCCCAGGTTCAAGCTGTTCACTTCAGCCTTCCAGTAGCTAGGAGCAGCTGAGACTACAGGTGCACCTCACCACATCAAACTAATTTTTAAATTTTCTGTAGAGATGGGGTCGCACTATGTTGCCCAGGCTGCACCTGGCCTTACTATCATATGTTTAACTATGGATTTTTTTCTTTTTGTCTTACTTGGAATTTACTGGGTTTCTTCAATCTCTGCTTCAGTGCCTTTTTTTTTTTTGAGACCGAGTCTCACTCTGTCGCCCAGGCTGGAGTGCAGTGGTGGTGTGGTCTTGTTTCATTGCAACCTCCACCTCCTGGGTTCAAGCAATTATTGTGCCTCAGTCTTCTAAGTAGCTGGGACTACAGGTGTGAGCCACCGTGCTCAGCTAATTTTGGTATTATAAGTAGAAATGCGGTTTCACCATGTTAGCCAGGCTGGTCTCAAACTCCTGGCCTTAAGTGATGTCACCCACCCTGGCCTCCCAAAGTAGTGGGATTACTGGCATGGGCCACCATGCCCGGCTTTAGTGTCTTTCAACAATTATGAAAAATTCCCAACCATCATCTCTTCAAATATTGTCTCTGCCTCATTCTCCCTCTTCTTAAATTCCCATTAGACATATTAAATTTATCTTCCATGTAACTTAATAATTCTGTCATATTTTCTAACTCTGTACTACAGTCTGGATAATTTCTTCCTAGCTTTCCTTAATTCATGAGTTCTCTCTTCAGTTACACTGATTCTACTGCTCAATTTACCCATGCGGTTTTTATTTTTTTCAGACAGGGTCTTGCTCTGTTGTCCAGACTGG